TACTGGCTTTGGCTGGTGGCCCAGCTCCCTATCTGGCCAGGGATAGATTGGCTTCAGGAATCTACACTCTGGTAACTTCTAAATTATTGTGATGCATTCTACGTGGATCTGCCCTTGAAGAGGGTTCAGGAACTGCAGTTGGTGCAGAATGAGGCAACCAGATTAACAGGCCCACAGGTCCTAACACCTAAGATCGGTCCTGGACCACTTGCACTGGCTGCCTGTTTGCTTCCAGTCCCAATTCAAGGGTGGTGATTTTATCCAAAAAGCCTTATACAGTTTCAGGCCACAATACTTGCTGAAACACCTCCCTCAGCCATGAACTACTCAGACACTATGTTCAATATGGGGCCTTCCTCTGAGTGCTGACTCCAAGGGAAGCACAGACGGTGGCATCAAGGGAGAATGGCCCCCTGCTTATGGAGTAACCTCCCTACTGCAGCCCAGCTGATGCCAAATTTGTCATCTTTTCAGTACCAGGTTAAGATGACCCTTTACGTGGAGGCTTTTAAAGACTTATCTGGATACCCAGGGGCACTGCACATCCCAGGTGTTCTACAGAGCCTTTCTTTGCAATTGTTAGGTTTTAGCCGTTTTAAACTTTTTAATGTTTATTTCAATTTGTGTACCTGGGTTCTCTGTTTTTCTGATGATATATAAATTGTATATAATCTGTTTTGTGGACTGTTGTAAACCATCCAAGAGAGCTTCAGCTGTGAGATGATATAGAAATGAAAGAATAATATTTTTTCAAGTCTTTATTGTTGGCCTTGATGTTATTAGAAACATTCTTCTCAACTTGCTTCTTTATATCTCCTTGTCTGCTTAGAGAGATGAAAAGATGACAGGCTCCTTTAAAGGGGAATCTTATGAGGAAAAACTTGCAATATTAGACAGTGAAGTGAATGTTGCTCTGAAAGCACTTGGAATGAATAAAACACCCAGAATAGAACTATTCCAAGCTGCAGAGAATGATTCAGTCCAAATCCTAACAAGAAAATGCCAACAAATAAGGAACACAAAACAATGGCCCATGGATTGGAAACATTCTGTATGCATTTTAATCCCCAAGAAAGGAGATGTAAAGGAATACAGCAGTTATAAGACCATTGCACTAATTGCCTATGCAAGCAAAGTGATGTTCAAGATGCTGCAACAAAGATTTTTTACTCTGTATTTAGGGAGAAATAGCTCATGTACAGGCTGGATGCCACAAGAGGCACTTGAGACCATGCTGCAAACATGTTGAATGTTGAAGTGCACCAAATAATTTCAGAAGGTTTTATGCTTTATAGACTACAGCAAAGCCTTTGGTTGTGTGGATCAGAAGCAACTATAGATGGTCCTGAAAAACTTGATGTGCCTGAGTATTTGATTGACCTGATGAGTAACCTGTATTGAACCCTTGACATCGATGGTAAACAAGAGCTCTCATGGTGTCTGCAGTTTGACTTGGTGGCAGCAGGCATCTTTTCCCCCAAGCTTGAGTGCTTTCCTAGCCATGCAGTTGGATATTTGGAATCCACAGCTTCCATGATCCTAGTCCTTGTCAAACGGCCCCATGTTTCCAGGCCTGTTTTGTGAAGGCCTGGCAATGTGGGTATGATTCAAGCAGAAAGGCAGAGGGAGTGTCTGTCCATGTTGGTTGTGGTAGGAAATTTACTTGCACAATGATCACACTTTCTAAAGCTTGCCGTTGATGCCATCATGGTAGATGGGAAAGCAGTGAACAGAGAATGGAGGAAGGACTGGTAGAAGGATGCCAAAGATCAGAGATGAAGCAAGTAGGAAAGCTTTACAAATTATTTTGCAGGCAAAGAGTGAAAACCAAGCTCATGGAGGGATTGTGGCTGAGTAAGGGATCAAGGAGTAGAAAATGGTACAGAGAAAAGGATTATAAATGCTGAAAAAATACTTGAGCACTTCCCAATCTAGGCATGGAGGTGATCAAAGAGGAACTGAGGAAATGGGCAGAAGCCCCACCCATGGATGCAGGGAACAAAAAGGGGAGGGACTCTTGCCCAAACTTCGCTGTAGAAACTTCTCAACAACAAGCTGGCACAAAGCTCCTATTTGTGATGCACAGAGACCACGAAGAAGAAACTATTGTTAGGACTGAATATGGAGAAGCAAAATGTTTTCCTCTAGGCAAAGGCATCAGGCTAGAGTGCATTATATCCTCTGATCTGTTCAACCTGTATGTAGAATATATAATAAGGAAAGCCAAATTAGGATCAGTGGACACAGGAGTGAAAATTGCCAGAAGATATGTTAATAATTTAAGATATGTAGGTGATACTGTACAACTGGCAAAATGCAACAATGAATTGAAACTCATGAGGGAAGTAAAAGAAGTGCAGAAGTGGGACTGCAACTGAACATTAAGAAAAAAAGCTATGACTACAGAAGAACCACACAACTTTAATGTTAACAATGAAGATACTGAGATTGAGAAAGATTTTACATATCTTGACTCAACCATCAAATCAAAGGAGACTGCAGCCAAGAAATTAGAAAACTGAGGTATAGAAGGTCAGTGATGATGGAACTCAATGATCAAGTATAAGAAAACTTCACTGGTGACCAAAGCCAGGAGCATCCACACTACTGCATTCCTGATCACTATGTATTGGCATGAAAACCAGACAGTGAAGAAAACTGACAGGAAGAAAATTGTAGTGTTCAATAGTGCTGGGCGAGAGCTTTGCCAATATCTTGACTGATAGAAAGACACATCAATCCTAGATCAAGTCAAGTCAGAGCTTTCTCTGGAAGTAAAAACGAGGAAACTGAAGCGGTCATTCTCTGGGTACATTGTAGGAGGGAAGGTCTCACTGGAGAAGACAATCATGCTAGGACAAGTTGAAGGCAGGAGGGGGAAGACCAAATACAAGATCAATGGCCAGGACATTTTGGCAGGCATTCATTTATAGGGTTGCTGAAAGTTGGAGATGACTTGACGGCATGTAACAACAACACTGCGTTTCCCTTGTACAAGCTTGTACTCCTTTTTCTTCATTTGGGAAAGACATCAGTTTTTGAAGAAGCCTTGTTTTCTCTAATGGCTTCTTTAACTCCATCTGTTAATCTGGCTGGTGAATACTTGGAACTGGTGTTACCTTTCTTAACTTGCAGTATAGTTACTAAGGTTCCATTACTGCAATTTTGCGTAATCACCAAGCATTTTGAAGGGATTTAACTTTCTTGGCTCCTTCCTTCCAGCTTCGTTTTTATTATCTTTCTTTTTACCAGCTGAATTTTTCCCCTTTCAAAATCAAATGTAAATTTGCTCAACCCTTTCAGCAATCTTAATACATATTAAATCTGACAGCAATGTGGTTACTGCCTCCAGTTGGCTCACAGCAACATTTACATCTCATACGAGATCCTGGGCATCCTAGTATGACCAGCTATTCTAGGGCAGTCATTTAGTATTTTGAGAAATTTAAATGGTCAGAACAGGAATGCACATGAGATTTGGGGTTGCATTCCCTCCTCCCCCATGTAATTGGGCCTGGGTGCCTGCTTGTCAGAATGAAAGAAACAGTGGGGTTTTGAGTCCCTCTCAGGACATGAGGGTGCTTTATTCGCTTATCCTCAGTTCCAGTAAAGACTGTTCTGGAGATCTGATCCACATTCCAGCACCTAAGCTAGATATTTCTCCATGTTTGCCACCATAAAAACTCTTCCTACAATGACCAAACTGCTATCTATAGGAAGCCCACAAACAGGGTACGAGTGTAAAACCACCACTGTGTTAATGTTTCCAAGCAACTGACATTTACAACCGACATTGCCTTTGAAATGAATACACAGTCATCATTATCATAGCCATTTACAGTATCATTCCCTCTGAACTTGTTCTAATTCCCTTTTAAAGCTCATGAAGTTGGCAGTGAATACTACATCCTACAGAAGCGAACTCCATAGTTTCAATGGGCTATCCTGAATCTCCTATTATACAGCTTCATTGGCTGCCGCCTGAGAATTATGAGAGAAAATTGTTTCTATCCAGTTTCTTCACATATGAAATCCTCTCTTGCTTGCTTTTTTCCCTAGGCTAAAAAACTCCCAAACCTTCATTCTTCTGCACTGTGAACAGGAAAAAACAAGTAATGTTTTATATACACAGGGAAAAAAACTAATAGATATTTGAAAATTTATTTATTTTCCACAGAACAGGTATATTTATTTGCAAATAAACTTAACAATGGTATCTCAAGTGTTTGATCCATTCTTCAGTTTTAATGAAGACAATAGCCAGGACCTGTTGGCTTGAACTAAATTACCCATGATCTCCTACTGCGTCTTCAATCTCTGCATTAATTACAAGTAAAAGCAAATCTGAGGGAGAGCTTCAATGTACAGTAGTGCAGCGATTACGAAGATTATGGGCTTTCTGAAAAGCAGTCATATGTTCAGGGATGTGTCTCTGCAGAAAAATATACAGCTTAATTAAGGCTGAAAGCTTTGATTTGTCATCGCCCACATGATCTGGGACTGTGTGAACTCTACACCTTTGAAGGAGCCAGAGAAGCACGGAATCTGATGGGTGATGCTGAATTTGGCAGAATATCAGTGTTCATGCTGTCTTCTATGGCTATTTGGTAAAGTTTTGAAAGTCACCAGCAGAATCATCCTGGAGATGGGATTTATTTTTAATGATCAAACGGGTTCCTGGGGACAAAAACACCCTGTCCCATGCTAAGGCTATTTCCCACCTTGAATTTACAGTGATAATCTACCCCCAAATCTCCATGCTCTTGTCTCATTTTAGTCAACCCATATTATGTTGAAAAAAAATTGAATCTACTGGAACTGCTTGGTGAGAAATTGCATGGGCGTGCAGGAAGTGATCATGAAGATGTACACTCTTTGCACCCAGCCTTGTATGTAGCCACGTTAGCAGGTACAGCAACCCTCTTTCAACCGTTCCAGTGAAATGCCATTTCAAATTACTTCAAGACATAATTTTACATAAGTAATATTACACCAAAGAGTCCTATTTTTAATTTTATTTCTTTTTCTGACAATAATATTGTTTAAAAGTCTTTACACAATCACAGTATTTCTAACAACAACAGAAACATTAAAAAGTTAATCTTCATCAGAAGAATGTCCCTTTTTTTCATTCCTTAGCTTCTCTGCATAGAATCTGAAGCTCTCCTACAGTGGAGTAAAAGAAGAAAGGAAGGTAGAAAAAATAGTATTTTGCTATATACACTAAGTAAATTATGAATCAGACTATTATCCCATCTAAACTTTTCTTCTACCTGTTTGTCATTGTTAGCAAAAGAGAGAGGAAAGAACTGGCATTATATGATGGGCCAATTGCCTTCATAACTTGAAGGAAGCCTGTCCAGTACTTTAACAATAAACATCTAACTATGATCTGTATCAAGCAGTGCCACAAGTTCCAAAGAATGCAGCTATGGTATGTTTCTCCATGGACAGGCCATGCACCAAGTTAATTTGAATTTTTAGTCAGCCCCTTAATGCACCCAAAAGAAGAGTTATAATTTTTCGCAGTCATCAAATATAATAAACCTCCAAAATGTGACTTATAATCCTGACTCTAACCATAAAGTACTAATTGCCAGTACCTGACTCCTGTAGATTTTCATGTTAAAGTAATATTCTGAAATTATTATTCCAAGAGGTCTCCACTGTTTTTTATACATTTGTTCCCCTCAATTAAGCAGATTTACAGAAGGGCTAAAGTTTGTGTTTTCGTTGGCAAAATTAGCAAAGATAAGTCAAGCTGCCTGAGAAAATTAGTTCTTATGTTTTACGTTTTCATTCTACAATTGCTATTTGGGGGGAAAAAATCTTTACATTTTAAAACTAGCAATTTGCTGACACCTAAACCCATCTGAACCAAAGCATGCGGAAATCATTTAAAGTTTAAACACTCTAAAGATACTTGATAAATTCAAACCTGAACATGAATGCTCAATAATGATCTTACACTTTAAACACAATAACCCCTTAAGATTTCCTTCACCCATCCATCAAGCCTAATTCCAAATTAATACAATGACTAAAATATACTCAGCATTTCATTTGTAGGTGCCTTCGAGGGTTCTCCACGAAGGCTTAATCCCAGCATAATTAAGCATGCCACGCTTTATTAACACACACACTTGCAGAAGTATTTCTTTGAAAATCAGTAAACACTCACAGGGGGTTCTGTGAAAGGAACAGGCTCTCCTGCTTCCTTCAGGAGAATTGCCAAACGTTTCAAAGTTAACTCATCTGGGTGCAATTTCTCAGCTTTCATTTTTTCATACAGAGCTTTGGCTGAAGCAACATCCTTATCCAATGCTAAGAAGGAAGAAATAAAATAAAATGTTTTAATCTATCCACCAGTATAGATTTCTATACAGTTTAATTAACCAGTATACAACCAGTATACAAATACCAGATAGGCATTTCTAATTTCACTCACTTCAGAAATGCCTTTATAGGGTTTGTGGGTAGCCAACAGACTCAACTTGCTTGCTTGTTACAGTAACCCAAATCATACTGGTGACAGAATTCCAGATTAAGTATATATGAACTAGGGTTGTAGGCTTTAATCATTTAATTTGTGTGATTAAATGAACTAAATCTTAACAATGGCAGATTAAATTTGACTCTTCATTAAAGGACTGAAATGCAAGGACCAGTGATAATGTATTTTCCAGAACAAGTAGAACTAGAACATTTTCCAGACATGTTTCCAATGCTCTAAATAATATTGTCTGATTTAGCATGTTTGTTTAACTATTTTTTACTTGACAAGACATATTAACCATCAGTAAGCACACAAAATATCTCATATTTAGTGAACATAAATATATAACCCAAGTCAGTTTTATGGGTAGTGCTCATGCTGCTTGTAGGATCCACGGGCAATTGGCTGGCTACTGGTGGAAAAGAATGCTGAACTAGATGGGTCACTGGTTTGACTGATCATGAATCTTATATTCTTAAGTGAAACAAACAGTAACCAGCAGTTGTAGTTTTAGTTGTAGTCTTCTTTTGCTGTTACCAAAGGTGTTAGCAATACATAGCAAATACATGAGTATGGTCTGGACCCAGTCAGGAGCCAACTGCATTTGTACAGGAGAGTGTTGCCACACCTTAGTGTTCAGTTCCTCCATAGACAACTGAGCACTAGGATTTGTCAATGCTTGCCTTAGAAGAATAACTCACAGAAATTCTTATCTATAATTAGTAGGGTTCGAATGAACCCTTTCACGACCCATGTCTCTAACAACCGTGGATTTCCTCTTGGGCTCAGTCTGGTCCTGTAAAGTGAGCCAAGCTAAAAGGACATCTGTGAATACTCATGGACCCAGTTATGCCTCTAGCAACCTTCCCCATCAGGTGCATCTGTCCAAAGAGTGGCTGCAGGTCAAAGCAGAGGAGCACTGCTAGCAGTCATGCCAGGGGCCATTCTTGGCAATCTACCTCTTACCCGCCTGGTGCATCTGGCAGTGGCAGAACCAGATGGAGAAGAGGGGTGCTGCTATTGATTGCACCGGACACCATTCCTGGGACCAACCTTCTTCCCTGCCCACAGAAGCCAGCAGTGATTATACCAGAAGAAGAAGAGGGCAGCTGCTTGTGCAGCCTCCCCTGGCTTGTATCTGGCCTTTTGTGGCTTGTCAAGTCCTGCAAAGCCAGGTACCCATGCCTTGTTTAAGAATTATTTAAGGGCTGTCTAATCCTCAAATAATGTCTGTCAGCACAATGCAACACAGATGAACACCCATGTATGGCAGGCATAACACAACAGCCTCCACAATGAAGTTAACTGATGGTGAGCTGTTGTGACATGCAAACAAGCCAGTGCAAGCCAGCCCATTCTCTGACCCTGAGGCATAAAATGGGAAAGGCTTTTTACTTCTATACTTTAAACTGTAACTGGACATATGATGTAAATGTTTCTACACAATTCAGGACAATAAACCAGTTTTTAGGATGACACAACCTATCATTTTCAGGAATTGCTGCAGATTGATTTATGGAGTAAGTGATTTCATGAATATTTCTATACCCATGATGACTGCAAAGGTGACTGAATCATGTTGCCACCATGTCAGAACCTGCAATTGTTAGAACTGAAGATCTGTAGCATGGATTCTTCTTCAAGGATTCAAAGGCATGGCCAGATAGCCCCAGGTTGGGATATTCAGGTTCAACTTGTATATAAAAAAGGCAGAAACCACCACAAGACATGGAAAATGACTCAGTGCTGAACTTAAGATCAATTTTGATTTTTCTTTTTAAACTTTCTTTATGCATAAACATGTACAAATTGTTCTGCTATGTATAAAGTGCTCAAATAGTGCACATATATAAAGAAGAGATATGACCATATTATGTTAATACAAGGATAACACAGGAAGCTGTCTTGTACAAGACCAAGCTAGTGGTCCACTGCTTATGCGGATTGGGAGTTGCCCTCTAGTTTTTCAGGCAAGGGTCTTTTCCAGCCATAAAGTGAAAATGCTAGGGACTGAACCTGGGAACTTTGGCATACAAAGCACATATTCTGCCACTGACCTACAGTCTATTAATGCTAATTCCTGTTTCTCTTTGTAGAGCTTGTAGCAGCAAAAACATTTAGTGTCCTTGCTCTGCTTCTGCTGGTGATGACTGACAGAAGTACTAAACAGGCTTTTCTGCAGGGCTTGAGAAATTACACTCAACTATTTTCTTTTACCTTTTTGATATCTACCTTCCCAATAGCAGTTACTTAATACTATACATAACAAAAATTGAAAAGCTTATATTCTGTAGAGATGTACATTTCAGACCCTTCCATTTGCCAACAAAAAACTTCCCACTCACAGCTGCAAGTGGATGAGTTGCTTTCTAGCTGTGGGAGGCTTCAGAACCTGCACAAAGTGATGGTTTAATGAAGGTATAATAGAAATTGTTAACTTCCCATTTCTTTAAAATAGAAGTATCTATTGTATGAAAAAACAAAAAAAGGAACAGCGAGATTATGTTTAATGGACCGCACAATTGAGACGTTTTCTTAATAATTCTTTATTCTTGGAAGACTAACAATGTGAAGGGCTTTTCCTCCCCCCATCCTGGACACAGTCCCAACGGTTTACATCCCTGATAAGAAACAGAATGAACACATACATATTCACTGCCTTTGGAAGAAGTCTATTTTTCAGCTCACTTTCCTTTCGTTCTAGAGCATAATATGTTCACCTTGAATGCCTAGCAAAACTGTCACAAAAATACCTCCCAAAGCACCCTTTACCAAGCTTGGGTGCTGACATGTACCTAATAGGTTGGATCCAGAACTGTTAGTTGAATGTATTTCCCCTTAAAATCAATGGATTTAAGACCGCAGTAGGACCCAGATTCAACTAAAGGAGTCTGGATCCAACCCAAAGCCTTTTCTCCCTGCTCTAAGTCTGAATTTAAAAATAAAGGAATTATTACAGAATATAAAATTAGGTTTGTCAAAACTGACCCTTCTGATTTTATTTTCCAGGAAGAAATATCTATTTGGTAAGATTTTATTATCTCATTCTGTATGTTGCTTTTACTGTGTAAGCAGCCCTGATACACTGAATGAGGGACAATGTAAAAAAAATGTAAAATAAACCAGATCTTACCATGGCATTTCATAAGGAAAGCGTAAATAAATGTCTTATCTGAGAAGTCAGGAACCAGTTCCAACAATGTCTTCAATTTGTGAACCTACAAAAATTAAAGGCAGAGAAGCAGAATTTTGTCATATAACAGAAAGACACACTTTATAAAAATCTGAGGCCAAGAATACATTTTATGCTATAACCATGGTACTTTTTTTAAAAGAGGAGAATTGTGAAACAAGATATTGTAAGATCACTGGGATACAAGGTTGGTTTGTTGTTTATTCTAATATTATCTTCTAACATGCCACAGGTACTATATTAATAACACAGCTGAACAAAGAAAGGCACATAGAAAGCTGCCTCAAACAAAATCAAACTATGGGCCCATCTAATTCAAAATGGTCTACAAGGCCTAGAAACAGCTTTCCAGGGTTTTAGGCAGGCAACTATAGTAGCTGTCACTGGACCTTCTGTGTTCCAGGCATACACTCTACCACTGAGCAATAACCATTTTCCATTAGTATAACAACACAACAGGGAAAGATCTGTGACAGTTTCCTCACTTTAAATCTCCAAACTACTTCTAAACTCTAGGGTAACTAAGATGCCGTCTTAGGATCCTATAAAAGCAACTTCCTAAAAGGACTCTCTCCAAAAAGTGTGCACTCATCTGCAGATACTATATAGACATTCTCCTAGAATTTGGCTAGCTTAAGCAAATTAAGACTCAATCCTATGCCTATTTAGACAGACAAAGGCCTACAACTTCCAGCACACCCCAGCCAGCCTTGCTTATCAAGAGGCCAGGAGTATCCTGCTCTTACCTTTAACATAACACCTCTCCCTGTAGATAGAAATTCATATAACAAAATCCACCAGAAAGGCACAGTGACTGGCACAGCTCCCACTTCAATTGGGCTCACACTGGATAATTTCTCAGCAGATTCTGGAACCTTATACATGGTTCCAGATAAAATAAAAACTAACAACATATGGTTATTTTTTAAATGCAAATTTGTGGTTTTCAACTTTTGTCTTCAAACAGGGCAATTACTAGAACTTGAGCAGAATACCAGCACTAAATATTTTATGCATGATTTTCTAAAATGCAGGTCCTGCAAATAGCAAAAAATATGCCACTTAAGAGAACCCCTCTCCCTGTCTTATATTAATGGAATCAAATCTTTTTCTGTTCTTTTTTTAACTTTTCTTTAATACTCTGGGTACCACAACAGGGCTTCCAAGTCTGTCTAATTAGTCACCCATATAAAAGAACATGCCATGAGTGCATGACATATCTATAGGCACCATTATCACCTCTGTGGGAAAAGTGACAGAACAACCTGGGAAACAGTCTTTTAGTTAATATACTATACTGCCATATTTTAAATCTTGTTGAAGTAACATAGTTGGGCCATTGGGAATTCGTTGATTTTAGCTTGCATATTCTTGCTAGAATCTGGAGAGCCACAAGAATTAAAGGCAAGGTTCTAGCTCTTGCAGTTACTTGAACAATCTGGGATTCTCATTATAAACTTGCATTCTCTGATCCACAGGGAAACAACTGCCCCCATTCCTTTCTGAGTTGATGACACTGGAGTACGCAGCCAAGACCACTCAAAATAGAAGGTCTTCCCTAGTGCAGTTTATCTGATCCCTACACAAAGGTGCCACTCTCAAAGGCAAAAATAATGCTCACACATTTTTTTTTCTTTTGAAATAAATGTTCACATTTGGAAGAACTGCAATGCCATCTTCAACATCTCAGATTAATAATTAAGCAATATTAACAAGATTTCACCTTTCTGTTTTCTGGAATAATCTCATATAATTATGACGTTTCAAGTGGTGGCACCACAAGCCACCTAAATCACTGGTCTGCCTACAGTGCCTCTGCTTGTTCAATTCTGTCCACTACCCCAGAAGCCTGGTCTGTGCTCCTCAAGCTCACATGACTGACTCAACCCATGAACTTTTTAAACAGACAAGCTTGTATTTATGCTGGTAATATATCTTGCAACATGCTTCTTAACAAAATGTATCACTTTAGTGTTATTTATTATTTACTTATCAGTCCACAAAAACAAAGTGAAAATTAGTAGGCTAAGACAGTCAGTGCATTGCAGCATTTTTCTGAAAAATGTAGCATGTTTGAGGTGCCCCACTTGATAAAATGTGTGCTCCATTTCCTCCCCCAGCAGAAACCAAAATACAAAAGTCCGAAACAGCAAAAGAGCAAGCTCACAGATTTACAGATTCCATCAGAATAGTTGCCCCTTTCCTTTCTTCTTGTACTGAGAAAGTGCATGTGTTAAACCCCTGTTCTGAATATTAAATAATACAAGAGCTGATATTAGGGCATGATTAAGCCAGACAGAATACATGAGTTACAGTCATACCAAAAATAAATAAATAAATAAATAAATAAATAAATAAATAAATAAATACCTGTCCTTGTTTCTGGGATTTATTCATCATGAAAGCCACTAGGTACCTCTTTTGTTCACCTATTGCATTGCATCTCTTGAAAAAGAAAACGGGTGGGGGGGGGAGAGAATTAAATGGGCACAGGCAACTGTAGTTTCTTGATAAATAAAACTAGCTAAGGTGAAAACTTCCAATTTAAAAAGTTCACAATAACCAGAAATATATTATTATTAACTGCAGGTCTTAATAGTTGACCACTTATTAAAACCTACAGAAAGGAAAACAAATGGAGTAGGAAGCCAATTTCTTCTTCTTCTTCTTTTGCTAGCAAATGCTGTCCTTGGCACAATAAACATTAAGTTTTCTCAAAGGGGAGAAAAAACGAACAAATGCTTTAACATCCTACAGAAAAGAGATTTAGGACTGTAAAAGAGAGAAAGGGGGGAACACGATTTCTCTCCAATTATTCTGCCAAGCATTCACAAGTGAGCTAGGGATCATAAGGTTAATTATACATTTAATAAGGTGTCAGGGAGATAACTGCTCGTTTCTTTATAAAAATTAAAATGTACAAAGCAAGTTCTCTTTAAAGTATAATTACCTACACTTATGCATACAAAAGGACTGATTTCAATCTCTCTATTTTATAAAAGGCTTTCTCTGCAACAGACAGACAGCGCTCAAGAGACAAAAGTTAAACTCAAAAAAAGTTTCTGTGACAGACCAGACAAATCAAGTGCCTGTCCCATCTTGGAAACTATATCAAAGACAAAGTCAGACAATATTTTAGCTTATGCTCAGAGGTGTTAGCACTGAAAATGTGAATAACGCATACTGAATTCTTTCTCTAAAATGCTGAAGAAATTCTCATTATTTTTAACACCTCAAAGTACCAGCATATTTCAATTTGCAGAACATCTATATAGACACTGGCAGACTATGCAGTATTTTATAAGCAAATTAAATCCCACACATGACACTATATTCTTAACTTCTTGGAGAGCAAAATAAAGTTTATCACTGAAAGTGTCCTGTGAAGGAAGCCATTATGATGATTTTGCTTGTGAACCACTGGGATGTTTAATACATTCAACACTACAAAAGTATTACTGTAAAGAAATAAAAAAATCTCTATACAACAGTCATTCTTTAAATTCTCATCCTGTTTTTCAAAGAAATACCACAACCTAACTGCTTTGTCAGGGAAACCCCACCCCCACATACAATGCTCTGTAGGAACCCACCGAAACCTTAGCTCCATGCCTTCACAGGAATGGCTTGTCCTACAAGAAGTGTATTATTCCTTAACAAATACCAATTTATGATAACATGTCACAAAATACTGGCTTAAAACTTTTCAGTAAGACAGATGGTGTGCAAGTCAGCAGTGTTCGTACAACCTGTTCCTGGGCAAACAAAACAGAAATGTAGAACTAGCCACTGGGTGGTGCATGAGACAGCTCTTCTGCTTTCTTATGAAACCTTTATTCCATTTTTGTTTATTTAAAATTAACTTTAAGGCAACCTAAAAATAACAAAAAGTTCTCAATGCAGCAATGGTCATGAAAGCACCTTTAAGACGAATGGCCCATGCCAAGTGCAACCTAGAGAGCCCATCATGGAGGATGAAAAATATTTCAAGTGATGCAAGGGCAGAAGGTCCATGTTCTACATGGCTGTTTCCCTTGGTTAACCTATGCAAAACATATCAATTTCAAAAGTTAAAGAATAAGTTCACTCCCAGTAAGTGTGCTTAAGATTCCAGTGTAGGAACATATGAAGGAAGATATTTATTATGGTGAAAATCCATTACAGAGCAACTCCAAGCATTCCATCCATTTGGCATAGGTAGCGGAATTTTTGACTTACAGCAGAGCCATAGTGGCTTATTTCAATCCACCACCTTAATTTTAAAAGTGGAGGACCATGAGTCATGTAGGGCTGCTGTTCTGTTTTGGGAATCTCTGCCTAAATTTATATTTTGCGCCATCCCAGGGACTCCAAGTGACTTTCAGCAATTATGTCACCATCTAACTCTATCCCCAAAGAAACCACAGTCCACCCTTTGTCAAGCATTGAACACCGGCAGGAAAAAACCCACCAACTCTATGGTCATTTCAGATTCTGAAATGAACACACACAGCCATAGGTCTGTCAGCAGTGTAGTCCACCACTGCAATACCCTCCTTCTGATAACTTTGCATTGAATTGGGGGTGGGAAGGCGTCAGAGGTGGCAGGTGAAATTGCCTCACGGCTGCCACTGTCCTCACACCAACAGCATCCCACCTGTTGGGAATCATAATCTGGATAATTTAGATTCTTGGAAAGAAACAAAAACAAGGTGAAGTAAAACTAACCAATAAGGCTTCACTGATATTTTTTTTTTTTTTTGCCTGTATTAGAAGGAGAAGTATCTTGAAGAACTTGGAATGGCAGACTATGGAAACTGCTTGGAAAAAATACATGGGAGCAAACCCTATTTATTCCCCTTCTATTTTCCCATTTGTGAAAGCCCACAATCCCATGAGCCACCTCTTCTCCCCACAACCCTTTTGATATAATTTGACACAAAGTAAAATATATGGAGCTCACTTTGTAATTAATGAAAGTTTTGTACATTTAAGTACCATGCAGGCTCATATCAGTTAAGTAGCATAGTTATTTCCACACACACAGAACTAATTCCAAAACTTTTCTTTGCATTTGGAATCTAGTGTTTACATTAAATGCAAGAGAAACAGTTCATGTTTGTTTGTTTTTTCTTTGGTAATGCACACATTTAACTAAAACCTATAGAAAACAGGAATGCAAGCCATGAGTTTTTATATTGTCCTAAAAAGAAAACCATTCTTTTACGACACACTCCAAAGCCTTTAATTGGTTTTCCCTGTTCAAACAGAAAACATGTACAGAAATAAATAAAAACAGAAACAGAAACAAGAAGACATGAACAGAAATAAAGCAAAGAAGTTATGTGAATTTCTCTCCTCATTGGTGAGCTAAGTGTAACTAAGAATTGTTTACCATGCCATTACGGCACCTGCTTGAAATTAACGTATCTATTTGATTATAAAATGACAGCCCAAATACTCAATATGTAGCTTTCCTATTTATATAGGCACTAAGCAACGTTGAAATCTCTCCACTGCCAATTCCACCCCCACCCTCAAACTCTCTGGCCATTACAGAACCTTCTGATGACTAAAGAGAGGATGCCTTGTGATTTACTCTTTGGAGTACTTAGTGACTAAGCAAGAATGCAAGTGAATGTAGCAGTATTTACTATCAGAAATTGGTAACAGGCCTCAATTTGACACAGGGAGTCTACACAAAAGCAGCAATCGGCAGGATCACTGTGATTGTTTGACTGCCACCTGCTGGGAAAGGCTCCCTGTTGGAGTCTGTTTTGTGTACACTGCCAATGGCAGCTCTTATCACCCATGATTCATTCTGCATATTTCTCAGCTTTATATTTAGCACTGTGAAAGTGGCATGAATGCCGATGTCTCATTCTCTGAAGATTGCCAGTTTGAGAGAGGGGGGCGGGGGCAGACAGGCCAAGGACCACTGGAGACCTGCATCTGTCAGCTAACATGCCACTGACATATAACTAAACAGTAAGCAAACACTATTTTTAAATAAAAGCTTCAGTAGTGCCTAGAGAGGCATTTGGCTATTCAAAAGAAAATAATCCTAGTGGGTTAAGGAGCTAAATTACTTTTGTTTTCAAAGTGGTTTGCGCTTATCTTTTAATTTATATCCTGTTATTCAGACAAGAATTGACTTCCAAAGTGGGTTGTGGCAATTAAAATCCATCACAAAAATATGGCTTCTCTTCTTGTCTTGTCACTCAGCTGCCCTGGAGCAAATGAGAGTTCTTCCTCTAGCAAGTAGGACAGAAGGGTAGGTACCAGGACGTGGGCATTTAGAGACATTACGGGTATGTTTGTGGGAGGAGCAGAAAATGATGAGCCTACATCACGAGACTGCTAATAAAATAGACCTGAGACAGATTGACCTGGCAAGCTCTTGTTCTAAGACATATTATAATAGAGTAAAATAAAACTATTGATTCCTATCCCACTCCAAAAAACAATTTCAAAACAAGCTCTAAAACTTATTAAAAGTATTATTACTTGAAATGAGTGAGATGCAAGGTTGAGTAATGTGGCAATTTTAGTGCAAAAGCTTCAGCATGTTACACTCCCCCATTTAATATTTTTTTTCATTTAATTTTGACAAGGGCAATCTCTTTTGCCTTTAGATCTCCTTTTATAAATTATCCTTACCTTTAGAAGATGCTTGGCATCATCCACTCTTTCTGCATCTAAATACTGAAGAAAAAGTTCTGTGGCAGGCCTATAAATCCCAAACTGGTTGGCCAATCGTTCAGCCATGACACTCACTGTGAAAAATAAAATAAAATAAAATAAAATAAAATAAAATAAAATAAAATGGACAGGTGTAATGGTTGGGACTTTAACAATTCAATGCTGCTTATGTCTACTAGTAAGATGAATTAGGGTGACAGCACAAGAGAAAGGGCCTTACCTGTAGTGAACCCATCTTTGCAGAATATCAAGGAGTGTGGCTCCTTTCCTGTTTTTAAATGTGCCTTAAAGACATGGATGTTCCAGCATGCTTTACATGAATGCATGCCCACCTTTAGGTTTTTACTGCTGTTATGATTTTAAACTAATTATGCTGCCGTTAAGTTAACTCTATTTCATTGTTTTTGAATGTTACCTTATAAACCACTTGAAAAAGTCTTCATTGCAAAAGGAGTAGAAAAATATTTTTTTAAAGGGAAAGTGTTAAGGATTTAAAGCTATTAAGGGTGCAATCCAAACTGGCTGAACTTTTAACCCAGAGAATTATGGACCTCCTATGCAGGGCAGGATAAATAAAGAGGCAAAGGTTGCATCTGTGTTCCCCACTCTGCAAAACATTTTGAAACAAATTTTGGCTAACTAAATCTGGCACCTTGGAGTGCAAGAAGTGGCTCAGGAACCACCAAGATGCTTTGAATCCTGTGCTCTAAACCCCTGGAATGCTCCTAGAAATCCACCTCTGAAGTAGTTCTTGTGATCGTGGAATAGCACCAAGCCAATTTTTTTTTTCACACAGGTCGCAAGGGCAGATGAAAGGCAGTCCAAGTTTCAAGCCCCAGCTCCAAGCTTGGGGGAAGTTTCTGAGGTTGGAGTTGGGGCTCTGAAAAATCCTGTGGCTGTCTGGGCAATTGCTTAGCAACCCTAGTATTGGACTCTCAGTGACAGTCTTGTTCAAATGAACAAAGATTCACATTATGACTTAGCCTCTGGCTTGCAAAGAACCATTTACCTGGTCATCTGTGGAAAGAACTGACCATGCAGGGAAGATTTCCAGAAATTGATACTCTCCTGAGGCCACAACTGCCTGGTCTGTGTATGTGCAGGCAGTAAGGCTAGTGAAGATTGTTGTGGGTTAGTCATTGATGCAGATATATTTACCAGGCTAACTTACTTCTTTCCAACTCTGGCTCCATTTTATTGTCAATCAAATTTCTAAACACATAGGCAATGCTTCTCTCTGACAGGTCAGAGTGTGACACTGTACCAGGGGTAAACATGGTCTCAATGTATTCCATGGCACCATCAAGGTTATTACTGGAGAAGAAAGGGGGAAAAGTATTGCAGTGGTTTAGTTCCTAAACCAATAAAGCAGGTACATGAATGTTTTATTTTATTCCAACATTAATATTACACAGAGTGGCAATGTTAAAAGTCCCTATGACCCCATTCATGCAGATATTGTCACAACATAAAGTGAAACAAACGTATGGCTAAGTGCATAGAGTTGGCACTAAATCCATTTCTTTCAGAAATGAACTCCAAACTGTTCTATGGCTGAGTAACTTTGACACAAATGTTGCCATTATTAACAAAACAAAGATGTCTACTGATTTGTTACTTCCAAAATAGTAAAAGGGCAAAAATAAAACATCCATGGATAACACCTGAATAATTAATGCAGAAGAAACCAAAGAGTATTTTTATAATATTAAATTAAATATTTTACTGAATATTTCATAAATGTCTTTTTGGATGCAAACACAGTGATATTAAAAGTGAAATGCTTAACAGCTTTGTCTCCATACACTCTTTTTGGAGCATAATGCAGCATGAGATGGCAGCATGTGAAAGTACCAGGATCGTGAGGAACAAGCAGTTGATGTCTCTGACAAAAAGTTCCACACAAAAAATTCTCTGGAGTACTTGGGCAGACTGTTTGTGGGACTGCAGCTGCTACAGCTTTGTGAAAAGTTAAGAGCCAAGTGCTCACTCAAAGAGATGCCTAAACACCAAACAGAGCAGGATTTTCTCCCCAGGAAATAATGCAGGAGCATGGCTAAGGCTGTTGATAAAATGAAGTATGAGTAAGTGCAACAGCATGTGTACCAGGCAAACAAATCTTCCTGATAAACCCTTCCTTTGTCTGTGTTATTTTGTTCTTCTGTGTAGCATATCCTTTGTATTCCCCTGCCTGTGGAATACTGACGAGAGAAATCCATGTTTGGGAGAAAGACTGATCTTCCAAACATCTTTGTAATAAGATATAAATTAGCCTAAATCACTTTTAATGAGGTTTGAGCACAGGAGTGTTGGATATAATGATCTGCAGTACTGAGCTCCCTTTGGCAAGGTGTCACATCAGTGTCTGAAAACAATCAGCATGGATTTGGAAATCCAGCTCAGGCAATTCTCTATTCTCTCTATCTTAATCATGTTACTGTTCTAAATCATCTTACTGCTATTCGGCAAGGACAGACTCACTGGGCCTATTTACCTGAGACACAGATACATGCAATGTAATATTACTATACAAATTTTCTGAATGAGAGAAAAAAGTTGGGTACAACTTGTAAGACTGTTTCAAAAATTAAGCTAAAGAACAGGGCAAAATTTCACTGAGAAGCCACTGCAAACAGATATATTTTGAGAACTACAAAAACATGTTCTAAATTTATCTGCTACGGAAAAAGTCACAAAGGATTTTCAACAGAAATACATTCATACTGCAATTGAAAAATGAAGTAGCATCAGTCCTATTAATCAAGGCAAGAACATGCATAGAAACATATGGCTGATGTGGATAGGTCATTAAAAGAAATAGAAAAATACTTCCCATGTTTTCAAAGCTTAAGCACATACTTTAAAAAGGAGTTTTCTATGTTCCATCAGAAAATTATGTAGCTGTTTTCCTTCAAATTTAGTAAGATTTAGCATGACCAACAGGCACATGTGAAAAACTGTGCTTTCATTCTTGGGTACAATGTGGGTGCAAAGCAAATTTAAAGCTTACTTGATACAAAGAGAAAACCTACTGGCTTTGGGAAGTTATGCATGCTGTGAATTAGTGCATTAACAAAAGACTACAGATATCAGGCTAACTCAAGGCTCCATTTAGGTAGACAGAACTTGAGTATAACTGAGGATGTTTGGCATCATTAGCCTACTTAAAGTTCATTTATCCAGTAATAACCTGGCAGTTTCTGCATTGCATTAAATGGACTCCAACCTTCATTGTTTCTGGGATAATACTAGCATCCATTTAACTATTATGTAGAGAAAGGTTACTGGTATGCAAGGCAAATTGGGTCACCATATTGTCTTTTCTCCTTGCTCATACAATAGAAGCAATACAAACTTACTTGTTGATGTGAGCTAATACTGTGTTGCTGAAGAAAAGCGTATGCGGCAACCTCATAGAGTCACGGAACCTTTCTATCATCTTCTCAACTGTGCGTATGCTCTCCAGGTCTCCCTTCTTAGTGAAAGCGTTAACAAGCTGAGTAACAGCTAATGCAGAGGGTACCTGGCCATTTTCAATAAGTGTCTTGAAAGTAGACATTGCATCTATTCAGGAGAATAAGGAAAAGTGAAAAAATAAAGCAAACTCTTTATTCAGAAACAGACCTTTGGATTTGGCATACATTATATATTTAACATTTAATTAAAGGAGAACAAGAATGGAAAATCTCTCCAGTCATTGAACTATCTATGGTTCTTTTGTGTGATACCTTAAGAAAGAAACCACATTTGAAAATTTCTCATGTCCTCTTGCTTGAACTTGCTATTGTTCCCTTTTGTGACATCTTAAGAAAATAATGGTATTCGTTATTTACGTTTCTTGTAGCAACTACAGGAATTTTCTGTTTCTTGTACACAGGTTGGGTTTGCACAACACACTAAGATCTGCTTCTGATGCCATGGCAATCCATCATGATTTGTTCTCATAGTTGAGTTACATGTTGTTATGTGAACAGGGCCCACTTCACCAAGGTGCTTCCCCCCCAAACGAGTCACCCTCCATGACCATGGGCTATTTTAGGGTTTGTGTCACCTATCGTGGTTTGTCATGCTGTCCAAACAACGATGGCATGACCCGCCTGTGAGCTACATGGTGGCAGCAGTAAAGTTCTCTTTCTGCCCCTGTCAAACAGCTGCTGGGTGATTGCCACTGCCAGCTTCCTCCAGAGTGCCAAAACAGCACTTTAGCTTGGCTTACAGAGGCTTTCCTGATTGCCACTCTGCACCACTGCCCCATGTTCAGAGCAATGGCCCAGTGTGACTCATGCACGCCCTGGGCAGCAACAGGGAATGAAACTGGCATTCCTACCTCCTGCTCAAGGGGCTTGCTTTCAAACAAGAGGAAAGGATCTGCTCTGTGCTGCTCCCCATGATTGGGGCAGTAGCATGAAGTGGAACCAGTACTGCCATCAATTCCCAATTCCTGCCCAAGAGGTCTACTGGAGACAGGAGCTGGCAATCTGCTCTGCGGCACTGCCCCATGTGGGAGCAGAACAGATCCCCCCTCACAGTTCCAGTCTCCATATTTAGCTCTAAATTTACAGTCACAATTTTAGAATGTTCTTCTAGATTACTAAGGCAATTTACATATCTTTTCAGAGAACATGGTTATATATATTAGTGTTGTGTAGTGGTTAACAGCACAGGACTGGGAGCCAGGTGATCTCGGTTCTAGCCCCCACTTGACGATGGAGCCAACTGGATGACTTTGGACCAGTCAGGGAGACTCAGCCCAACCCACGTAACTGGGCTGTTGTTGTGGGGATAAGACAGAGAGCAGCAGGAGGAGAATGTTATAATAATGCAATAAAAAGGGGAATATAAATATAATAAATAAAATCCATAATTTTCATTTTAAGGCACTGTTGACATTGAACACATACAGTTAATGTATTATAAACTTGAACAAAAATCACTAAGAAATGTGTAATAAGCATAATGCTTCATACAAATAAAGAAACTTGACTTTGTGGTAAACTGCCCAGAGAGCTTTGGCTACAGTCAGTATAGAAATGAAATTAATAATAATTTAATGGATACTGTTGTGAGCTCCCCCAAATTGGAAAATAATCAGTTTCCTGATCATTGTGATTCGTTTAGCAAAAGACAGACTAAACTAAGGCTGTGCATTTTATATCACTTTGTCCACCGTGTCTCTGGGCCCTTGCTTGCACTTGTGCTGTATTTTATTCATTTGTTTAAAAAGCACCTGAGAGGGACCAGCAGATGTGGTGGGTAAATTCTGAAGAATTTGCTTACATGTAGGTGCTTCATTTCCACTTCTTTCCCAGTTTAGAAGCAGCATGTCTTTGTGCAAGCAAGCTTATTTACAGAGATACACTTGCTTTAGCATTTATTTTAAATGTCAGTCTAGCATATCCAGAAGAGTTATGCTGGATCAGGTCAAGTCTAGTGTTTCTGTTCACACTGGCCTACAAGCTGCTCCAGTGGGAAGCCCACAAGTTGGATATCAGAGTGTAGTATTCTCATAATTGTGTTGCCCAGAAACTGGTCCACACAGGTGTAGTGCCTCAGATCTTGAGGCAGCATACAACCATTATGACTAGTACCCACTGATTTATCATCTATGCATTTCTCTAAATCATTTTTAAAGCCATCCAAATTGAGGGCCATAACTAATAATGTGGAAGTGAATTCCACCTCTTTCATGTTTTTCTAAGTCAAAAATCATCATCACCATCATCATCATCATCATCATCTCACATTTCTGTACCACCTGTAACCGAAACTCTCTAGGCAGTTCACAACATTTTAAGTCACCCATCCAGATTTCCACCAGGCCCAACCCTGCCTGGCTTCCAAGACTGGGCAGGATCAGGCACTTCAGGCTACACAGAAGAAAAAAAAAATCTTACCTGATGTAACAGTGGAGTTTCTCTAACCGCTTAATTTACCTTCCCTTTTTCAACTTTACAATAGACTTTTTAAAAAGTTCAGTGACTACAAACATATGCAATATTTCAAGTGCTATTACGCAACAGACTGAATAGATGGAGTAGCATATTGGCTGATTTATTTTCAATTCTGTTCCTAATTATGCTGGATACGGAATTTGCCTTTCTCACAGGAGCTGCACATGGAGTTGACATTTTCATCAAGCTGTCAACGACAACCCCAAATCTTTTTCTCGATTAGTCACTGCCAGACCCAACCTGTATCGCTTTGTACTTAAGTTTTATCAAACTGCATTTACTATTTTGATGCCATTCTCCCAATCTGGGGAAATTCTTTTAAAACTCTTTGCAATGCCTTTTTGTTTTCACCACCCTAAAAAACTTGGTGTCACACCAAACTTTGCCACCCACTTGCTCAACTCCTATCTCCACCCATCTGAAATACTTGTATTCACAAATTGGGGCAACATCAGTTTATAGCTTCAAGTAAACTTAAACTGGTGAGTGTCCCTCATGATGTCCATTCCAGGCACTATGAAAATTATTTTCTACATAGGTGCATATAAGAAATTCAACATACCACTAGTGTGCGAAAATAAGCAAGTTCATGACTCCACCCAGGAATTTTAAGTAGAAGTTGCTGCCCAAAATGAGAGCACCTCTTGCTTTTACATTTGCTACAGCTGGAGGCTGAAGAAAGCAAAATACACAAGAAATGCCAGCGTGACCTGGCATTCTAAGGAAACCCTGCCTAGCATGTGCATCAGAGCTTACCCATGGCTTCTGAGGGAGGGAGGGTGGCTTGACTCTCACTTCTGAAGCCATTCTGGGTTTCAAGGTATCTTTGTTTGGAAGTGTGGGGCCTTGTGGTTGCTTCTGCCAAAGGGCAGTAGTCAGACCTCACTTCCTTAGGGGTGAAAACCACTTAACAAAATTGGAAAGAAAATACTGTAATACATGGCAAAAATTATGTGCTGTTATTTTAAACTTTTGCCAACTCTAGTATTAAGAGACAAAAATGAAATATGACATAAGGACACAAACCTGGGTGAGTGAAAAGTGATGGGTGCTCTCAACAATAAGAGGATGAAGGAAGGGGGAACTGGAAATTAGACCTTGTGATTGTTTATTCAAAAGGTGCTGCAGGAACTTGCAAGCAAATATAGCATTTAGTGGCATGTGAAAATGTTCTATCTCTAGCAGAGCTGCTAGTGACAATTCAAGATCTGAATTACTGGAAATACAATGTACAAGAAAAGGTTTTAATCAAAGAACGTTAGTAGATATTCCTAGTAGCACCTTGATCCACTGTTTCACTCTCTTAGAATAAATTTAGAAGGGTGAATGTCAACAACAGGAAGCAAACAGAGCAGGTGAAAGACAGAGCTGTAGTATTATTCTTTCTTGGTATGTTTATCTAAATATTAACAGACTTCATGGGTGAGAGGGCAACTGGTATTAAGAATATTTCACTATTAACATTGTAATGAATTCAACTAGACAAGAAAAGCAATGACGCTGATGTTTGGTCAATGGCCGTCTTGCCTAGAATAATTCTATTTTATTCAAATAAGGGCCAAAATGAAGCAACCCGCCCAGCCCCAGGTGCCAAGACTGTAAGTAAGCGCCTAATATAATCCTATAGAAGCAACCACTTTTCGGCACAGACTTCTGGAGCCCTGCTTTGTTTTACAAAACTGTACATTCAGTTCTACACACAGCCTCAAAGCTGAAATCAAACAACATGCATTGAACAGACTGATATAGTCTAACGACAACATTGCCCAGCACTGTACTCTCCGGCATTTACTTTCCTCAGCCAGCATTGCTGATGCCATGCAATGTAAGCTGGAAAGGAGCACAAAAGCAGAATGTATGTTTCAACACTGTTGGTATTGCAAACTATTACAAAGTATTAGATTAAGGTTTTTTAAAATCAATATTATAATCATTTAGTGCACAGCCATGCACATTTAACACTCAATTTAACTCACTTGATATCTTGTACTACCAACACAATGTGCAGGAAGAAACTGCTGGGAATTGTTTCAGATGCTCTAAGGTATGTTAATTTCCAAAGCAAAATGACTTGTGCTGTGAATTTTAACGCACTTGAAAGCCTGTACTTTCTCTCGTTCTGGAGCACAAATTTTGCATGTCTGAAGAGCTGTGATTCATCTTAAGAAAACCCATCTTGTGTTAAATGGAACGGAAACTGGACTAAGTGGTCAAATGACAAGTACATTCATATTCAAGCTGTATTATAAATGCATGTACAGTAATTTACGTCTCTCAGCTACCACAAAAGGCGCTTGATAAGCAGGTAATTTGCTAAATGGACTCCTTTATCCAAGTATTTGAAGGGCGTTACAAGAAAAATCTGCAGAGGCATTAATGTGACGTAAAGGTCAAGCATTGTGACATACCTTTCAAATAATCCCGCCTAACTTGCGTTATGATGAGGAGGCTGCTGGCAGCATCGTTCAGCACGAAGCCCTTGATGTGGGTCTCAGCGCTAAAAGAAGCAGACATTTAGAAAGGAATTACTGACATGCTTCTGATACGATAATAAATGGTTGAGCACCAAGGTGAAATTATAAAAACTACTGTTCGTATGTTAAAAATATTGCTGCAAAATATCGACCTGGAGACAGCTTTTGTGTTATCCTGTCAATGGTTATAGAAGGATAATTTTTTTGTGCATTCTGACAGATGACAAAGTTGGAAATGAGCAACAAAAGAAACAAAGTACAAGATTTTTTTTAAACAATCGGTTCAGATTCTTGAATGCTGACATATTAGATGACGAAAATAACTGCATGCCCGGCATTGTTCTGCTGTATCCTAAGCAGGTTACTTTCTTCTTCTTTTTTAAAAACAGTCACCATAATTATAAAATGTAAAACTATTCTTTCCGCAATAAAAATGCAACATTTATTTTCAGCACTGTATATTTTAAATATAAACTAAAGGGATATTATGAACCAACACCGTATCATTTGGTTGATTTAATTTTCAAATTTCTGTCATCTGGATGCATACAGGTTTTAAAAAACTCGACATACTGCCTTTGCTGCCTTAAACTAAGAATTTATTATTCATCAGTTCTATATCCCTTACAAGGCAAAAAATAAATAAATAAAACAAATAAAATAAAAAATAAAGAGGAAGAGAGAGAAAGAGAGCAAGAACAAGAAAAAAGGGAAAGAAAAACCACCTTCCCAGGTCTGTAACTGCAGTGAGAACTTAGCTTTAATAATATTGGTTAAAGCCTTTCAAGGAACATACATTCCACACAGACTAACCAGAAAATCCTTTTCTATTTGTGCACGCAAGTGTGCCTGGAAATGCTCTCAACATCCATAATAAAATTTAGACTTTTCTTTTTCTAGTATCTCGGGATAACTTTACAGGGTTCATTTTCTAGGTCAGAAAATTTCCTCTGGCCAGAGTATGTGTAGAACTGCCATTTGCCGTATCAACAATCAAGATAAACCACGGTGATCTTCTTGTGGCAAACAACTGAGCAGCCTACCTACTTGAACTTATGAGCTGAGCGGATTGGGAGGTAAGCAGGGTCATTGCTAAATTATTCTCATCAATCCCAAGAAAATCCTTCATTGAGTTCACAATATGACTATCCTCTCAGTCACTTTCAGCCTCTGGGGCCGGCCAATGAAGTCACTGGGCTCAGGATTTTCTTACTCTCCAACCAATCCCTTTAATCCCTGCCTAAGCACCCATTGCTCAGTTCCGCTTTTTTCTTTGTCCCATCTGTCAAAGCCTTTAAGTCAACAATTCATGCATGAGACTGTAAATTACATATAACAAAGGATTTACTTTCTCCAATCTTCCAATCTTCAGTGTGATTAAATAGATGTTAGCCACTATTACAGAACTAATCCTCCATTCCAGTTCTACTACATTTCTATTTTAGAACCATACCTAATATTCATCAAATTTGTAAATGTAGGACTCTGGGCTGACTAGAATCATTAGAAAATGCAAGTTTTTTTAATTAGTTCCTTTTAATTCTGCTATCAGATATGATGGATTAAAGCAAAGTTACTCCATTACTTCAAAGAGAAGGACTTCTAATTCCTTCTTCACTGTAAATGAGACAAAGCTACTCCAAAACAATTTCATCTTGGAGTTATCCTTCTCCCTATCCTTTAGTTTCTCACCTAGATTACACTTTGTCAAAAATTCGTTTTATAATGCTAATGCTTCATATGAGGGCTCAAAATAATGAGGAGGTTCATACAACACAATTACCCATTGTGAATAACTAGTGTAGTCTTACAGCTTCCTAGTATCTGTAGTCTTACCTCATCAATTTCCTTGACCATTTCAGCTGACAAAAATGGGGGTGGAGGAATGGAGGTAAAAGCAGGTACATCAAAAGGGACAGGAGAAATTCACTTTGTATGTTACCTGCTCATTTCACTGCTCACTGTGACAGCTGAAACAGAAACTGACCAAGAAAGACTACACATATTGGACAGACACAAGGCATGCCAGACCAACAGATGATGATGATAAATAGCTTATGACTCATTTGTGCATTTCTTGGGGGCTAAGAAAAACACACAACTCCAATGATGTGCTTTGTTTCAGGATGCGCCCCCCCCCAATGACTGCAAACAAAAAGAGGTAGCAGTCAAGAGTAAGGAGGGGGAGACAAAATGGGTTCTGTTCTAAAGGGTACCAGGATACTGGATGAAGGCCTTGAGGAAGGAGGAGCAGAACAGCTGCATGGATCCTGATTGTTTTTCAAGTGCACTATGGGTTCTTCCATGAACAGTCCACATTGCAGTTTTTTCAAAGGGTGGCTTGCTTATTTATTTATTTAAACCATTTGTATGCTACCTATTGTGCCACAGCACCTCTGGGCAGCTCACAATCATAAGATAAAAGCTATAATAAAATTAAGATACAACAGTTAAAAGTGCAATAGGAATAAAATACAGATTTTATTCAAAAACAGGTTTAGTGGCATCAAGTATTACAATTTTTTTTTTTAATAGGTCTTTGCCTGGTGCCTAAAGGAATATAAAAAAGGCGCCAGGCGAATCTCCTTGGGGAGAGCATTCCAAATATGGGGAACAGCCACAGAAAAGCCCTCTTCCTAGCAATCATCCCTCTCACTTCCCCTAGGGCAAGGGTCGGCAACCTGCGGCTCCAGAGCCGCACGTGGCTCCACCACTCAAAACACATGCCGGCACAGCCGATCTGGGACCGAGGCTCCGAGTTACAAAATACTAATAGGTGATGATGAGGCATCCAGCCAGGAACGCCCTGCTAGATGGTTAAGTAAATTGCTACATTCCTCTGCTATTGTGCAGGGAAAGAGTGGAGCAAGCTTCCTGCAGGCTCTCATGTTACGTGAAACTCTGCTGAAAAGATTCTCTTTGGCCAAATGTAATCTCCTTCCTCTGAATGTTAAAAGCTGTGCTTGGGACCTGTCACAATTCACAGCACTTTACTATTTATCTGCTAATCAGTCACTAAACACACCTATATCTGCAACTTCCTCCGGTAGGCCAACCATGGATAAATTGAAGAAAAGAAAAGTTTCTAAAGAAAACCAAACGTTTAATGATAGGTGGGTAGATTCATTTGCTTTTACTGCTGATGAACTTATGGGGTTTGCTGTTTAATGCATGCAGCCCTTTAGAAACTGACTTTGACTCTGCAGGAAGCTGTTCTCCTATTCAAAATATATGAAAGGCGTCCTACTAGTTTACAATGTAAGATTAAAAATAACAGTTTTTAGTGACTGAACAAGAGCTGCAGCTAAATCATAATGAAGATATACATAGCATTAAGGTAAAAAACTATATATGCAGTGTTATCTTCATTTTAGATGTCAAAAGGGTTTTGTGGCTCCTGGTGTTTTCTTTTGTGTGGGAAATGGTCCAAATGGCTCTTTGAGTGTTAAAGGTTGCCGACCCCTGCCCTAGGGGATGGCTCACACTGGAGGGCCCCCTGCATAATCTCACAGGCTGGGTAGACATATAACATGTTAAGCAAATGTGGCCAAGAACTCCTGGTATGATTCCTCAAAGAATTCTAACTTTTCACTCATGTTTTGGGAAGGTGTTAATTTTATCTACCCATCCATACATCTCTACAAATAGTCTTATGTTGCTAGAGAAACAGCTGTTATAATTGTATAAATTACTAATATTTTGTAGGGTTAATGAATTATGCTTTTAACAAACTTGGTCAGTGATTCTGAAAATTCTTTGCTCTGATACATTCCATATACTTGGGTTTAAGAATCATAACACACAAAGATCAATAGTTTTCTTCCTTCTCTTATTATGAAAATCTGTCATTTTGTTAGAAGAAAATGCTTTATGCTTCTTCTCTATTTTTTGGTTAGCATCCATACACTGGTTCCACTCAGACCTTGTGTATATGATCCTCAGGCATGTTTTTCCCACACCACTAATTCTTCATCCAGTACAATTGGGAGGAAAATATCAAATGTCCAGTATACTGAACAAAAAATGAAAGCAAATGCTGCCACTCTCCTCCTCGTGGCTTTGACAGGGAAAGGAAGTGGGAAGATGAAAAGTTGGAGACTCATTCACAGAACATTATCTACAGTTTGTCATTATGTCCCAACACAGCCATCGAAAGAAATGTTGAAGTTAAGACTTTTTAGACTTAAGTCTGTAGACTTCTGGTGTCTTTTAAATCAATTCAATGCAAGTTTAACTTGAAACCTTACTTTGCTCAACTGAATTATGTTGTACTTGTTTATTGGTTTGTATTGATCTTTATTTTTCTAGATATTACTGAACTTTGGGTGGTTTGCTTTTATATTTTTCTTAAAGATAATTAGATCCTATAGTTTTCTGTACATGCTATAACCTTTGTGGTTATTCCCAATTAGCCCATATAATTCACTGGTTAGCACCAAATTATTATAGAGGTTGATCTTTGAACTCAGCATTCAAAGTATTATATTTATAATTTTTTATATCTAAGATTGGTAGCAGTCATCATCAACACGTTAACCTAATGCATTCTTTCAACATGCTGAAAGAACCATAACCCATCTGCTTCCATAATGCAGTGTAATGTGATTCAAGGCTGGGTCATATAGATTTTAATATACAAGTGGATGTGTTGGTTTTAATATACAAGCAAGTGTGTGCGTGCGCGCGGGTGCATTGACACTCCTAAGCGCACACATACCCAATTCCCACAATAAGTCCTCCCCCCCAAAAAAAAGGATGGAAAGATTTCAGGAACTAGGCCTGTGTGTGGTGGCCATGGCATAGCCAAGGTCTGCTCTTAACTATACACTCATAACTACTACACTGGGAACTACACTTGATAACTAGATATGCTCAGTTATGGTACTGGGATAGGAATCTAAATGGGAAACTACTTGAAGTTGTTCCAAGTGCGTCTTCCAGTGGAAACTCATATCATTTGAAAGTTCATTGATGAGAACTAGAATGTATATTTCCCCTGGGTATACAGCTTACTCCAGACAGTTCAAAAGAAACCTGGGTCAATCCAACTCAAAAGAAAACTGGCATGAAAAAATATTGATAGCATACTTCTGAATATACCACATGCTACAACAATCCAATGGTCCAGGTGATAGTGACTATCAGAGTCTCACCTGCCACAAATCAGCTGTCAGGACTGAACACTGCAATTACCATTTAATTACTTATAAAATAAAGTCATTACTTATGATAAAATAATTCAGGATTGTCTATATGAAGTAAATCTGTCTTCCTCTTTGAACTGTACATTCAAATGACTCAACATCAACATGTGTGGGTGTGCAAATGAGGTGGCAGCGACATGAAGGAATGGCTTCAGGTTCTTTTACCTGCCTGCTTTTGTACTTTCCACTTGCTTGCACACATCATCATAATCACATCAGCAGCGATCTTGAAAACCTCTTCCAAATGCTAAAATGGTATTGTACATGATGGCTATTTTTCTAAGCCACCCTGAGCATGCACAAGCCCAAGAAGAAAGTCAACTAGTACCCAGAGGAACAGAGAAGAGAGGCACAATGACAGCATTTTGTCCCCTTCTATACCTCATGTTTCGCATCATGTTACACTAGCGCACAAATCTGCATGGAAAGAAGCTAGAGAGAGGTGTCCTGTCTTGATTTTATAGCCTCTGAATTTCTTTTTCTCTTTTGGCTCTTGGTGATGATTTTGCTGCTAAGATTATGCCCAAAAGTTATTAAAACACTTGCTTTTATTTCTGTATCTATCTCTACATTAACAATACAATTACCACTAGGATCTACTTTAAAATATTTTAAAATTATTTCTGTGGCTTATGCCAAAACAAAACAAAAAGCCATGAACAATTTCTTACACAAACATTTACCCATTTAACAAGAAAACAGACAAAAACTTAACACACTGAATTATAAAATAGGACCATTTTGTATGTTTTGATTAGTTGCATATTCCCATTGACTACATTTTTGTAGTCTACATTGACTACATTTTTGACTACATTTTTGTAGTCAATTTAAAAATGTAGACACAACTACATTTTTAAAAGAACTAATGCTATAGACCAGTAACAGGCGCACAACACAGAAGTAAACAGTTTATGCAGAAAACTGCCCAGCCCACCTCACTAAATGGCATTTCTTCCTATTCATGACATTCTGTCAGTGAATTCAATAAAAAGTCACACTTGCAGCACCCCGTGGTTGGTCTTAGGACCGTCAGGACTATCCAGCCATAAGAAGTGAATGGTGCTTCAATGATGTGTGCATTGCTTAAATTAAGTGTGCCAAGTGTGTGACTGGGCTGTGATGCACCATTAACTACAAAATGACCCGCAAATGCCAACCTTGTTTTAACTTACACTGTATGCTGTACTGGAAAGACCAAAGCATAATGCTGCTCCCAAGCTGGGCCATTTTTCTATTTAGAAAATGGAAACTGCACCTAAAAGTAAACTTTGCAATAATTTGTATACACAGTTAAAAACACTTAAGCTAAGAGACAAATGTATACACAAAAATACTTACATGTTTTTTACTTCCATTGCCTTTTCAAGATCACCTTTGCTGAATAATGCTTTTATAAGACTTATATAATCACTGATTTCAAACACAATATTGTTCTTTTGTGCTTCTAGTAAAATATTGTATGCCTCTGCAAAGAGAATTAAAAAACAATTGATGTGTCAGCTTTTACTGAAGTGTCACCGAAGAGTAGTCCTCTTTCTCTTTCTCTTTTAATGACAGCATTTGAAACAAATCTATTCTTTCTTCATATATCTTTCAAAGCTACATTTATGAAACTGTCTGTTTTGGGGTTAAAATTAATTTCTTCTGCGTATTGCTTTTTTAAAAACAAAAATCTTTTTAAAACATTTATCAACTTAAATTTGCTTCACGTAAAGGAGAAAAATTCCACCACTAACACCCATGGCTTAGAAATTCTGCCTCAGCCATCTTCAAAATTGCCCCTTTCAAGTTCATTAACTAAAGTCTCTAGCTGTGCTACCTGCTTTGAAGACATACTGCATATTATTTTAATGCAATCCCAAATTCAGTGGTAGGGAGTTATGTTTGCTATTGTATCATACTAGCATTCAGCAAATACTGGCAGTGTTTTCAGTATTGGGAGATCAAATTATTTGGCTACGACAAGATTTACATAGAAACATACAATTTACAAATATACAGATATTTAACAAGTAAACTAAAACTGCATTTATTTGACTGATTAACAGTTTTATTTCACACATTCACAATAACTGTCATTTAGTGAAAAGACATTACCAAAAAAGGAGGGAAAAAAAGGTAACTGCACTTTTCAGTCATTTACTTTTCTGAACAAGATTGTGCAGCTGTAAACATCCTGCTAACACTGGAATCTCTAAAGTACACTAAAAATATATACATCTGGCAAAAAACTGTACCCAATTTCATGCAATAGAATGTCATATTAAATATTTAATATGTCATATTGTCAAATGTCATATTAAATATTTTAAATGCAATGTAATTTGTACAATCCAATAAACTTTATACATATATTTAGTGGAATTCAAGCACTTTTTGAAAATTTGTCTACAAAACGGAAGAGTAAGAAACATCTTGGAAGAATACAATGCTTATACTGGTTAAAACTGAGCCATGGTATGATTAAAGATAAACACACACACACATTCATGATATTATGAGAGAAGATGCACCTATTTCAATAAAAGAGAATATCATCCCAGCAGCTTGAATGGATGGAAAACTATTCAGCTACTTTAATAGACACATATAAAGATTTTGGCATTTTGGTCACGTAACTTTCTGCTACTGATCAGATGCTGCATGGTTTTCCTGATAAAGATGACCCTTGGAACACATGACAGAAAGACCTACTGCATGGGGCACAAACATCTGACGTTGGTTTATCAGCTGCATCCCTACTTCGATGAGTGGAGCTTTGCCAGTTATCCACAGTGGTAACTTCGTGCTGGGATTACTGTAATGTACTTTATGTGGAGCTGGACACTGCGACTGGTCCAAATCACGCAGCATGCCTGCTGGCAAGGACTGGCTTTCACAAACCTATCATGCCAGTCTTTCACAAGTTACATTGGCTGCTGGTTGCCATTCAGGCATAACGTATACAGCCCTAAACAGCTTGGGGCCAGAATATCTGAGGAAATGCCTATCTCCATATATCCCAACCCAATCACTGAGTTCTTCATCAGAGACACTTCGCTGAATCCCTCCCCCCAAAAGAGTAAGGGGAGAGCAGGCCAGGAGAAGGGCCTTTTTTGTAATAGCACCCCACTGGGGAATTTGCTTCCACTAGAGAACTGCCAGGTGTCTTCTTCTCCCTTAAGCAGCAATTAAAAACATTCCATTTCAGTAACTATTTTGGTGAGTGAGTTGACTTAGTTTTAATGATTCTCACATTGGTTTTACTCTGCAAGTGTCATGTTATGAATTTTAACTGCCAATTTTACCTTACTTGAAATTATATTCTATTTTAGTTATAAGGATATTTCTATTGGTTCTATTAACTGACAGTTTATCTTTTATGCCCCCCTCTTATTGCTTTTTTATATGTTTTATTATGTATTGTTCAAATGTATTGTTAATCGTATTGTTATGTCTAATGCTGTATAATGTATTATGAACCTCTCAGGGAGCCTTAAGGTTAAAAATGCAGCATACACATTCAATAAATAAATTAATAATACATAATAGCTGGCAGTGGAGTGGGATGGGGGGGGTGATTTTACATTATGGTTGCAACAGATTGTAAGTCACTGCCAGTGACGATTTATTGCCAAAGTGATAACTTCCCTCTGGAGGAGTCACTTCAGGGATGAAATGTAGGCAAGGTTATCATAGAATCATAGAAGAGTAGAGTTAGAAGGGGCCATGAAGGCCATCGGGTCCAACCCCCTGCTGTTGCAGGACACCAATTTACACCATCCAACTCAGATGGCTGTCCCACAGATGGCTCTAGTGTGGGAGGTTATTTGTATTTCATTTGTTCTGTCTCTTGTGAGAGGAAAGGTTCAGGAATTTGGTATTTCTATGCAGAGCTAAACATAAAAAAGATTCAAAGTAGAACAGTTAATTCACAACAGCTGTTATTTGTGCCAATAACTATTTTTCTTGCTATGCTAAATTAACACTTAGGAGAAACAGACTATTATTCTCTGTAGTTAGAAAGATATTCTCTACAACTGATCATGCCTACATTGGAGATTACTAATCAAAGTAACAATAGAGCTGGTCCCATGGCATGACAGCCTACTATGGGTTATTTGATCCACACTGGGGTTGCAACCTGTGCTGCTGCCATTTTGAAAACGATTAAACCCTGCTTGGCAGGCAAATCTAGTCAGTGTGGATCACATGAGAAAGCTATGGCTCCCTCATGGGTTAAATCATCCACAAGCCGTGGTATGTCATCCAGACTGGGTCACTGTCTCTTCAAGTATTAAATTATCCACAAGTCAGTCCTTACAATAGCAAGATAGTATTACAAGCACATACTGTGAGCTTGTGGACTGAGCACTAGGAGTAATCCAAATCTGCTGATGTTTGGGCATAAAAAATTCATGAAGCACAGCAATCACAGCACTCTTAATGCATTTACCTTCAACTTTATCACTTTTGCAGAGATGGTGTAGTTGTTTCTTAAGACCGGTAGGATGCACAGGTGACACTGAAGAGGGGGCAGATCTGACCACCTCATACACACCCTCAACACAAGCTTCATCATATGAAGTCTTTAAAAGAAAAGTAGCAGCTTATGTTAATAATCATCATTCGTAAGTACAATATCTCCCTCTGTACCCACTCAAATATCAAGAATAAAAGATGACCACAATGCAGATATTTCCCCCTGCTCCAAAAACAGTGAGTCTGATTTACCTCAGGTACATCAAATAGAACTTCCTGATTATTGGATTTCAGGATATCTGCCAGCAACCTCAAAGTTCTTTCACGAGGAATAATATTTTCGTCCTGAATTTTAGTCCAAATAGCATCAGCCCTCTGCCAGTCATTGTTTTTCTCTGAAAGGGAAAAATTTTAGTGGAAATAAGAAAGGAACTACCTAATTGCATCACTGACATTTTGTAAAGCAAACTGTTTTATGAATGCCTGACATGATATGTATTTTCCCATGTTAAAATTAACTTGCCTTTTTTGCCTAACATGGGAGCGGAGTTTGAATGCACTCTCTTTAGAGCTATTCCATATTTAAAACAAAACATAAAATACATAAACAGAACAAAGCATAAAATATTATAGAAATTCTCTTTGCAGTATAACCGTATTTTTTTCTTTCATGAGAAGCATAAACTGTTATTCAGTATCTGCAAGGAAATCCTTTCCTTTCGACTGTTTCTCTGGGACCAGCATGACTATACCGCACTTTATCAGAAAGATTTTATTTCATAAAACTGAAAAATAATTCTAGATATTCAACCATCTCAATCTATAAATATATTAGTAAGTGAGGTCAGGTTTACAAAGTGACACTTCCATCATAATTCACTGAGTTTGCTGAACCTGTTAATGAAAAATGCTGATCTATTAAGTCCTATAAATTCTGGTTTATATGAACTAAAAATCACAGGAAGGAATATAGCTGCTAGTACTATCCTACAAATAAAAGAATGGACAGGTTTGCTAGCAGTTTTCATGCTTTCACTTGTATAAGTAATCCTGTCACTTGTGCAGGAACAACCAAAACAAAACACAATCAAATTTTATTTTCCTCATATAGTAGTCAAGCACAAGAGGGCAAATCAACCAAAGCAGTTTGAACCTTAGGTATTGCAAGAAGAAAACCTGTGGAAAAGAGCATTCCTGTCCCAATATTTACCTGTGCACTCTGCAAAATTCTCTGCACATTATCAAGAGACCATCCTTATCATGTATGGATATGATATAGATGGCTGCAGGGAAATTTACCCCAAATCAGGTACAGGGACTTTGTCAGAGTAAAGTGGACAAATGCTAAAGTTTCTATCAAGTACACAGAATTCAGAAGGACACAGAGATGGATCTTTGGTGATGACAGCTGTGTTATGGCAGGTTCTTAAAGAGTGTAGCAAATTAGAATTTTAAAAATTGAACCCAGGATTTTCAATTGAGTTCCAAAATCAATGAATATTCAAGGTAGATTAAAATAGGATGTAGATAATTTTATCACTGGATCTCAGCTAAAAATCCCAAAGTAACTCCTCAAAAGCAGTCTCACACAGAATGTGTTAAAATATTCTAATGTTGTAATCTAATGTTGCTATAATACAATCTAATGTAAACTTTCCAGAAAGCTTTGGATAGTATAGAAATTAAATTAATAATTAAAAATAATTAAATAGATCTCGGGTATGAATGAATGATACCTGTGCTGGGTTCAAACAAATTGACAAGCTACAGTGGTTTTTTTAACCATTGTTGGTCCCTTGTTCATCTGAACCCAATCATGGTATTTCATTATGGCAAGTTTGGTCTTTAGAAACCACTATAAAAACATGTTTTGTTCTATGCTTTCTCCATTCCACCATGGCTTGATGTGTTCACTGAACCCAGGATCATTGTTCCTACTCTTCCGGTATGCAAGTACCACAGAGTTCTCTGGAAGAATCGGTAACTACAGGAACCGTTCCAGCCATCCAGCCTCTATCTGTGGACCAATCGGAAAGAGGAAGGCAACATAGGCAGGGATTTATGCACTTTAGGATTGCATTTCAGGCATGGTGGCTGATGGGATATGTGGCAACAGCAGGAAAACTGAGGAGGATGGAAATCATGATAATGTAGAAACCACATCATCTGTTGGGTAAATCATGGTAAAAAGCCACTGACCATAGATTCTGAGTTGCTTAATGTACTGCATGAATGAAGCCCTGGCCTAACTTATCTAGGAAAGGATGTGGCACACCCTCAAGCAACCTAGGAGGAAAACGACCCAAACCAGGTCCTTCATCTACGTCTAGTTCATCAAAATCCCCAACCAGAGTCTGTCTTTCTGTACAGATGAAGGCTCCACTTGTTTGCTCCTATCCACAACAATATGAATTCCAAACAATTTAGGGCTTTTGTTTTCATTCCAAGATTAGAATATGCAAGTGTTTCATCATCCTGATTTCTGGCTGACAGCCATTCCCTACCAGTTCAAAGTGTCTAAAGTTCACTGTGCCGAACTATGTATAAAAAATGATTAAAAAGCCTCATTCCTAATGGCGAAGAGAAAATTCCAGTGCATTCTAGGCTTTATGCATCATTAGACTTGTGGGCAACAGACATGTAGTGCTGAATCCCTCTCAGCTGGAAGGCCAAATTCAATTTGGAGAAGTTCTAGTAGGTCAGAATCAGAAAAACCTAATTACATGTAGATGAGGAAATGGCCTGAAGGACTGGATTTGGTCACCAGCTGCAACACTCCTGCAATACATAAGACTGAAAGGTTATCAACTTTTATTTATTGAACTAAATTTTGTTTGCCTCTGCAATTTGTATAGTGGGGGTAAATTTCAGGTTTTTTCTTGGCTGGAGCAGCAGCCATCTTCTTGGACCATTTCTTGACCCTCGCTGCACCGTGGCCTTTGGAGGTGGAGGGGAGCCCTGGGTCTGCTTGGATGAGTTGGCCACCCTGAGGGCCGTCCTCAACCTTCAGTCAGTCAGCCCATTGTTGGTGGGTCTGTTTCTTGTCCTTGCAGCAATATGGGTCTCCACTATGTGCTCCTCACCAAGGCAGAGGAGGCACAAGGAATGCACAGATAGGAGACTAGTAGAGAGGAGAAAAGGGTGAAGGGGGTAGATGAGTGCAAACTGGAAAGCTGGGTAGAAAGTAAATTTTGTTGAGACAATTTCTCGCTCTTTGGTAGACTAGAGTATAGAATGGGTCAGTTATTGAGAGAAGGCACGGAGAAAGAGGTGAGGAAGCGGAGGTAAAAAGGTAAGATATTTAGTAGGCGGCAAAGAGATTCCTAGCCTATGCAAGGATGGTTGACAAGGAACTGAGGGACCAGCCAGGAACCCTTCCCCTATGTACAGAAGAACCAGAAGGGGAGGGGCTATTGAAGCTACTCAAGTTTTTCCTGGTCTAGACCTTGTGTGGGCACAGAAGTCTGTATGTTTGATGCACAGAGACCACAAAGAATAATTTAGGGTGCAATCCTATGTCTGTTTTAGATAAAAATAAGTGCTACAACTCCTGCCATTGCCCAGTAAGTTATACTGTCTAAAAAGACAGAGGACTGTACCTTTCATTACACTATACAGAAATGACTGCAAAATGTTAGTGGTAATACTATATGCTTCACCTATGAAAGATGATCAGCAGATGAGAGATTTTCTTCCCTTCATGTAAGTAGATGGAATTGGTTGTGTCTTTTCATGGTGGCTGAACAATCTGCACAACGGTGTTTGATCAGTTTTATTTTCTTAGATTTGTCCTCTCAGCAGACATGCTGTCAGTAAGAGTAACCAATTGGAGGGAGACAGCTGCTGATGGGAAAGAGAAGACACCCTCCTACTGAAAGAAGATTACATTCTGAAGCCCAGAAGCTTTATTATGGTGAGCTAGTATTTGTAAACCAAAAATGAATTTCTGACATCTTTTTTTAGCAGCTAAAAAAAAAAAAAATAGAAAACTCAGTAAGGTGTAGAATAAGGTTCTTGGCCACTTCTCTGCTGAATGCTCTTTTTATAAGCATAAGAGATGCATACTTTGCTAAGGTTTATTGAAAACCACTATGTTTCTTTATTTAATAAGGAGACAGGAAGAGTTCCTAACATCAGGCTGCTAAGCTGCTAGAAAACAAAAAAATCATCTGTTATGTTAAGTAAAGAAGCAAGCATTCTTCAAAGGCTATGGCAAACTATAGTTGACGAAGAACATGGAATGCTGAAGGAAACTCATGTGTGACAGGAGGAGGAGGAGCAGTTTGTGAGCCCAAAGGGACCCAACTAAAGTTGGTTCGAGCCTTCATGTTTAAGGTGTAACCAGATTCACTGTTGTTTTTTCCAAAGACAGAACACTGGTCCTAGATTTATTCCACTGTGAATGGAAGTGGAGGCTTCCTGCTCTAGGAAGGCCTGTGACAGCAGTTTCTGCTGATTCCCCCTTGAGCCCTTCAGTATCTTCCCTCCTATAATATGCTGGAGTGTTCCTCAAAGCTGTAGAGCAGCTAATTCAGGAGGCACTGAAGACAAGGAAGAACTGGTGAAACCTGCATCCCTACTCCCTTCCTTGATCCTGAGCAGAACTCCAGAACACTAATCCAGATCCAGCCCTTCAAGGATTACATTCAGCCATGTTCACCGAAGTTCCAAGTGAAGTTTTTCTCTGCATTCAAATAGCAGGCACAGTTCCCCCATCTGGCTCAGGGCTACAGCAAGGTAAAAAACCCATGTCCCCAGCAGCAAGACTCCCATTTAGGGCTCTACTTGTGAAAGAACAATCATGGAGTCAAAGACAAATCACATATTTAATGTGATGGATGGTGTGGGCTTCAGTTTCAAAAGCTGCTTGCCATATATCATGTGGGACTGCTGTTCAACCAAAGCAAAGATCAAAGCCATTACAAATGTGTAGGTCTGCTTATATAGTTCTTTGACACCCTGACCATAAGAAGTTTATTAAAAGTGTTTCTTTAAAACAGTCGTTTTGATAAGAACAGAGCATGAGATAAATAGCTTCAAAGGTATGACATGTCCACGAAATTTCTTCTTCTACAGTAATCCTGTGCTATGAGGCTCTCAACTTTCCAGCATTGTCCTCTAACACTTAACAAGTTGCCCACATACTGATAAGATTATGAAAGGCTTTCTAGATATTCCTTGGGAGACTGCAAACCTATTTGGCTATCTTCTATTGAAAGCAATTACATATGTAGCAAAGAGGAACATCTTTTCAAATTCTTTTATAGACAGCAAAACAAGACAGCACTTCAAAGTAAAGGGAGAAATTACACAGAGGATTCTTGAATTTCTGAGACATGGTTTAGTACTACACAATGATGGGAAATGGCAACTTTCTTTAAAGAACGCCTCAAGAGATAAATACCACCTATGCATAAGTAAATAGGTGGTTTACAAAAACCTTCAATTATCGTTCAACCAAAGTAAGCCAACTGCAGAATGTTTCCCTATTCAAGTTAACAATCTAAAACTGAAAGATAGAAACTAACTGGTAAATTGGAATATGGCTCAAGCACAATGAGCAACATTTCACCCATGGGCAGAGTGCTGAACTAAATGCACAAATGCCACCCCAAACGTTTTATCAATGGAAATATCTGAGTATTCTTTCTAGTATCTGAGGTTAGGAAGATGGGAGGCGACTGGTGAGGGTGTGCCAATATTTGAATCAGATGATCAGTTGAGGCTGCCATAGGCAGAGGAAAAAAACCTTAATGTGCATCAGTGAAGGAAAATGAGGACCATCCTGTTTTAACAAACAAAAATACAGGATGAGTTGTTCAGGGAGTAAATGACTAAGCCCTTTGAAACTGGCAGCAAGCAGGCCACCTGGTAGGTAAGAATCAGAAGAAAGGAATATGAGGTAGAGGCAGCAGTTCAGAACACAAAGAAGGACAATTAACATAGGAGAAGAGAAACATGCTAATCCCGTCATGCTGTATTTGTGGAGGGGAAACCCTCCTCTGTCTGACACCCTCAGTTAACCAACAAGCAACTGAGAGCACCAGCAAGTTCTGCTCTCAGCCAATAATGCAGGAGAGATAGGTGCACTTCAAATTCTGAAAAAACTTCACCTTTTGAAAATTGATGTGCATGGAGAGGCCTAGATCTGCTGACTGCAACAGTTATGTCGTTTCCCCCATCGGGCATCATAATGTGTGACGACACCAAAACACTTGGATACTCCCACAACACCAACACAGTTGGCTCAGCATGCCCCTGGATGGATCTGCTCCCTACTCCAGCAGCACTCTCCCCATACTGTTTTACTCGTCCTCACCCCAACACCAGGCACTATACAGCCATCCAATAAAAAGGCTGGAGAGACTGTAAGACTACTCATTCAATATGGGTCAGAAAAATGATCCATGATCTGACACAGATATTCTTAATCCACTTCAAGCAGGCATGCACAACCTCTTTCTGCCTGAGGCTTGAATTCCATTTCAGAGAAGATGCTGGAGACCTCATTTCAGTGGCAGGCTGAGCTAAAGGCAAAATGGCACAGCCCAAAGCACAACACAAACAAAACAAACAACGAGCAAAGCAGGCAACATACTGCAGCTTAAAGCTTAGCGCTGGAAATTTAGCATTAGGAAAGGCATTTCGGCCTTTTGGAATGGTGGAAACTGAACAAAAGCCAGAAAACCACCAAACTTTTGGTAGTAGAGGAAAAGAGGCATGCCCCACATCCACAAATCAAGACTATCAAATTTTGTTAATGGATGCAAGCACTGCGCCAAGTATTGGAGAATTTTTAGCTTCTCAGTTGGCCACCCCAATTCCATCTTATTGCTGCTTAAAACACAAACAACAATTTGTCATACACACACCTATGTTTCTGAAAAGCCTGCAACTGTAGTCCTGAAAGCAGGCCTAAAAGTGACTGGGACTCACCAGTGTGAGCTCAATAGTCCTAAAAGCTCTGCATGAGCTATATATTTGTATCCACGTACCATTCAAAATACTGGTCTTATCTCTGAACCCATGAATAGCCTACAAAGTGGATATCTGAGAGGTTGCCTTTTCCTGTATGAATCAGTCTGCTCTCTTAAGGTCTAAAACAAAGACAACTTTTGTTGTCACTAGTCCTGGGACTCAAGATTGTTAAGGGATTGAACAGTCTGAATTAACCCAACAACAAACCATTCCCAAACCTAAAGTGTTCTACAGTGTACATGAAAGTAACTGATTCTATATATGCAGCGTCTATTTTTTTTTCTACAAGCTTTCTTTTTCTGGGTTTTTGTTTTTATAACCCTGCTATACAATAAAAGTGTGTGTTGTCAGTTGCTTGTATTTTTCTAAGGGATGCTCAAGCAATTTCATTCTGAACATAGTAAGTATGAGTCATCAAACATCTAAGAGAGTAAAAATAAAACATTTTACTTACTGCATAGTTTTAACAAGTAGTAATACATCTCATCTCGATCACATTCAAACAGCTTTTGAGTCAATTCTACCATGCATTCCAGGGCTTCAACCTTTAAAAGGAAAATGGAACAAAACACTACATTTACAATGGCTACATGTGATATCAAAACCTTATTTTATTAGAAATTCAATACAGCTTAATTACCATCTCTATCTTTAGGCAATTATACAATTCCTTATTTGCTAAAAATAATGTGGTAAAAAGGTCTGAAGCAGGAGGACAGTGAGCAGGAAAAAGAGAAACAAGGAACAAACAGAAACAAGTGAAGTGTGAAGGTATTTTCCTAAGTACAAATGTTTTAATAATAATTTTGATTACTTGTCATAAGACATAGTAACAAAAATTCTGTCAAAATTTAAAATATTATACACAGGTATGGCATACATCTATCTAGCAAATTTCTGAGCTTTTGCCCCTTTTTCCTTTAAGAGCAAAAGTTGCCAGTGCCTGGGTTTCTGCTAGAAGTTCAGAAGCAAATTGCCAGTGTGTTTGTGTAGGCATGTATTTATGTTGGAGGAGGGAGAGCTCTCATCACTGACAAGAAGGCAAATTAATTAACAGAACCCTGAGTATATTCACAAGGATATGAAAAAGAAAGACAACTGTCATACAGCCTACTAGAAACTCGCCAACTTCAGGCTTATTTGAAAAATAGTCAGTGACCATCAGGACATAGAAACTGAGAAATCTTTCTCCCATACAAACCGAATTCAGATGACTTACTATCCTATCTTACTAAGTTCTCTCTCCGATTTAGTAAGGTAAACTAAGAAAAATTTACAATACACATACCTGGTTACTGGCAATACACTTCTCAGCAAACCACTCTAATTGGTCTGGTCGAGCTCTTAGGCCAGGTGTCTGTAAAACAAGATTTCTAAAATAAATAGGAGTTTACTTTTAGGATGATTTCTTGAATGCACAAGATAAACACACAGTTTGAATTAGGGCGGAAGAATATTAACCGAAGTTCTCCAACAATGGCAACTTTTTTAAATTAAAAAAAAAAAAAAGATTTATTCTGAAATAAGATTTAAACACTTTCAGTAGCATAATTTGTTGCAAACTGTCTTGTTAGTGTAGACTATTGAATGTGGCAGGGGGTAGTATTCAAGCTACTGCTAGCACTAATATAAATGATGGTGTCCTAGTATAAGCTACCTCTAGTACAACTCAATATTAGTTATTGTGATGGGATTTCCATTTTCACTAATGATGTTGCACCGAAGGCCACTAATACTAGCACTAGTTGTATGTGTTATTTCTGTAAAGTGGCATGCTCTTGAGTTTTACATGCTGCTGCAGTATTTCTTATATTGATATTTTTACAATATTTTGTTAAGCCACCTCAAATACCACTACGGTATGAAAAAAGTATGGAATTTTTAAAAACAAAGTATCTCTGAATAAGCTTAAACTTCAGTAATGTTTATAACAATCCACAGAACTATTACTTCTTATGCTGTTTAACTCAAATCACAGAAATCAAAATCGCTTTTAGCAGAAAATGAGATTGCTTAGGATAATAATCATTTCTTTCTACTGCATAAATAGCATGCTGACTACCTAAAATATCTTTGCTGATGTTGTGCCACTGACTTATTGCCCAGGTCATTTTTCATCATTGTACTAAAAATGACATGCATTTGCACCCTAATTAGAATAAACTTTTTGCATTGTGGTGTGCTTAATTCCCTTCTCTCCTATGCTACCTTTCTACTAATCCTCAGCTCCAGCATGCATATGTGGTAATTACAGCAATCTTATAAGACCACTTTGACAATGCAAGTTGCAAGGCAAGAATTTGCACATGAAACATCAAATCTACGTTTATCTCTTTATGATAGTCATTTCACAACTACCACTCAAAACACAATGGTATTCACAGAATTTACTGGCCATCCTATTCTCCAATGTAAGACTTTTCAAAAACAGAACTTCACTATTCCATTGGCCAGTGGACTTTCTTAAGTCTTTCATGATGAACGGTGAAGCATCCTGGAGCCAACCTCAATCTGTCTTAGTCAACCCTATGCTTTGTAATTCCATCTCCTCAGTGTTGTGCTCCAACACCAGAGTAGAACTATTAAAATATGCCATCTAACACCTGATTGCAGGAAGCACTAAAAAGCACTAAAAAGCCAGAAGTAATTTCTGATATCAGGACTAAAACAGAAATTGAGTTACAAAAACCTGTTAAGAAAATTTAAAAGCTGTAGTTGTCTTCAGGTGTGCTACATTTGGGACTAATAAACATGCCAGGTAGAAGTGTGCTAGTCCTGCACATGCAATTAAGAATGCCGATTTTCCAGCCTTTGCAATCATAGGGACTTATGGACAAAGGAAGCTCCCTTCTTAATCACACTGCCCCACCCTACAAATGCAGGGTGATAGGAATGTACAAGGTGGGGGGGGGTGAATCTAGTGATTTCCTTGTCACACGTTTGGTATTCTCAGGATCAGAACTCCTGAATAACGCTTATGTGGTAACCACACTAACCTCACAGACATTTTAGAAAGCCTGCTTAGCAGTTAATATCTCAGTGTCTGCCTCTATTCTACCCCCCCCCCCCACAACTTCCCCCAATGCTGTAGCATTGCTGATGGTGGGAACCTGATGAATTACCAGAGTCCTAATTAAGTGGAAATGACCTTTTTAAAGGGAAAGTAGGCTATGACTCCAGTGAATATAAAAATAAATATTCATTTATTTCCCTACAAACACCAACTTGTTTAGGAAAGATGCTGATAACACCTTATTAATGCAACTGTTACTTTTCTCAATTTTGAACAATTTAAAAGGAAAGCGTGTGTGTAGGGGGGGGGGAACTAAGTGAGAAATGAAGAATTAATACCTTACACAACATGCCCACGGAAATTAAAGGAGAAGATGTATGTTACTTGAATCTGCAGATAATCCTCTTTGTGACACGGCAAAACTCAAATGCAGCATTCACTTCCAACTTTCAATATCATTGTTGTTCCAAATGCCAATGATCTAAATGGCTTTAAAAGCTGAAAAACTTTATATAGCAAATCCTCCTCTGCTAAAAAATGACTGCTATGCCCATCACTATAAGGACAGCTGAGTTATACAGTGGATAGTCTTGTGTTTCATTTTGAAATTGAGAAGTGTTTTCACATATAGTATGTTCTCAATCATCAAAAGAACATCTAGGTCAGATTAACTAAATCTCTAGGGCTTGTGTGATAGTCCATATTTGTGGCTTATCTCTAACCATCTTACTGAATTTTCAACACTGCACCTAGTATGACACTGAGACATTTATTATACAGTTTGTATAAATCCAGTACGGTAACTTTTATTTTTAACAGAGTGTAATGTTTCTTTTTTGGTCCAACTGAAAATATTAATTTTGTTACTAAGACCACTAGAATATTTATTAACCTGAATATAATATACTTCTCATGTATATTCTCATGTCCTATTTTTATAAGATAATTCTGCTTTTTTTACCATTCTGCATTTTTCAGACTTTAAAAAAATATTTTACTTATTGACTTTGCTTCACTGTAATCAGCTATAACTTTTACTTTTTCTCTATTATGTTGCTGTCTTCCAATCTAGCTGTGGATAATTATATAATTAATTTTACAATAAAGGGTAGAAACCTGAGGTACTTTTGTGGTTTATTTGTGGTTGCTGGAATGAGTGTGAGAAAATTAATACATATACGCAAACACATGCTAAACCACAGCAAAACATTCACCACCAGCTGAGTGCTTAGAATTATAAAACAGTTTACATATTGCACCCTCTTGTTCCTCTAACTAAAGCTGCTAATGGCACACAAAGCATTTGCAATACAATCTAATAGAGGAATGACCAGCTAAAACAGAGAGGGGAACCATAACCAAACAGAAACCCAAGGAGCAGCAATATAAACTTCTAAGCGCCACCTCAAGGGCTTCCTTCACTCCTATCAGCCGGCCTACACTTTAAGATCAATGAGAGAGCCTATCATTTGCCCATCTATGACAGGGCTTAGGTGGCTGTATGAGGACAGTTTCCTCAGCGGACCAACATCACTGGCATAAGTTGCCACTGGGGGCCACCAAATCCTCATCATGGCAAGCTTTAAGGCCCTGAAAACATGCTATTTTCTTCTGGCTTTTCCCTGATATGTTAGATGTTGCTCTTTTCATTGAGTTCTTAATGTTTTTAGTATGTGTTTTATTGGCATGTGTCAGCTTGAGAGGCTCTTGCCCTGAAAGGCAGCCAAGAAACATTTTAAACAACCAAGAACATTTATGTGGAAGATTACCCAGGCAGTAAATTTTATATGCATGTGGTTATAGAATCATGCGCTTATAGGAGAACTACCCACGAAGCTATGGTTGCAAGAAGGCAGTTGTCTCACAAATAAGTAAAAAACTCTCCTAGATTTCAGCAAGGGTTTCAAGCTACTTAAGTTTGTTTCCTTTACCAAAAATAAAAATTCATAAGAAGCAGTTCATCATCATCATCATCATTGATCTCTCTTTTTTTAAATGTGCTTTGTGAACCACCTAGAGAGCTTTGGCTGTTGGGCAGTATACAAAATTATCAGCAAGTTATGAAAATACATGCCAAAAATTTTCCTAAATGAAGATAGTTTCCCTAAATTAATCAAGCTTCACTGAGTGTCTCTGATTAGACTCCTATGTTCTTAATCATTTTTCTGTATAGACTTCCTTTTCAGAAATACTTTTCAGATTGTATATGAAATAGGCTGGATCAGGCCTATCCTTGGGCACAGGTCACTCGTTTTGGCATGACACCTTTACTTCGGAATTTACTGAAAATACTGTTTTATATTTTTGTATACTGAAATTTTCAGCTGCTTTACATTTGTATACTAACATTTTATACTGTGCTTCTGTCTGTCTCTCTCTCTGTGAATTTTGATTAATTGTGAGCTGCTCAGAGAGTTCTGGCTACTGGGTGGTATGGAAATAAAAATTAAAAATGAAGATATAATTCAAGTTCAACTGTGATTGGGACTTGCAAGGACATGCAGGCCTATTTCCCTTCTCATTTATACAAAGATGTCCGTTATTTAAATACTGGTAGTGCAGAAGTCTCATGTGATTTTTTAAGCTTAATACTGATTTATTATCATCTACTGAACATGCTGTTTCACCAGTGTATCAGAATGTGTGCCTCTACTTGTATTTCTCTCTCACACATGCAGACTCGCCATGTTGTTCCAAACATTCTGCCATTCCACGCAGTAGGTCACATCAATAATCCCAGATACTAAATTACTTTGGAACTTCTATATTAAAATGAAGTCAAATCATACTTTACAAATGAAGTAACATCTTGCTACTGTAGTTTTATCTCCAGCACAAAATAAAGGTTCATGTTGATTTTATACAGATTCATACAAAAAGCAATCTGGATGAAAGGGTGCTGTAATCTCTCAATCTCAGAGCACAGAAATATTTTCATGGTTTTTACAGTAGATTAAAAACATCCTGAACCAATGGTGATTGGTATCTTAGAAATTGGTTAGCATTGCAATATGTCACAATGCTGTGCTTAAGTAAATGCACTGCTACGATTTCACTAAATATATTTCATTTTTTTAATCAACTCAAAGTAGCCCCCTTAGCAGATTCTGAGTGTCATCAGCAGCTTTATTTCCAAGTATCTCTTGAATCCCTTGACCAAACATAGCAGATGAACATTTAAACCCTTTCAATATTTTTGTACTGAATAACTATATTTTCCCCCAAAGACTATCAAGGGTTAGTGCTGCAACATAACTAGGGAAAATGGCATAAAAAGATGTAAAAATATTGAAATAAGAGTTACATATCACACCATGAACTTTTTAACACAAAGCACCATGGCATTAAAAGCTTTTTTATTCTACAGGATTATTCACAAGAATGAGCACTGGAGTATGTTTCTACAACCCCTCACTCCAATAGCAGTATAACCTTGTCGCTTTAAAATGTCAAACACACAGGAATTACAGTGAGGCAAAGCAGGGATTTTCATTGTATTCTTCAGGCCAGACTTCTTCAGCATGTTGACCTCCAAGTATGTTAGACTGGGTTGGGTAAGGTTGCTTTAGAAAGTAATATTCCGCAATAACTGCTTTCCTGGATTAGACCATAAAGGTTCATCATAGGAAACAAGCTTTAAACATGCTAAAATGTTCCAGCATGCAGTGGTCTGCCTACAGCCTCTTCACTTGCAAAATTAATAAACAACTGTAGACAGATAACTGGTTAAAAATGTACGTACGGATTCCTCTGTCACACAGAAGAGTGAAGTAATATTAAAAACAGCTAAAGTAATTGTTTAATACCACTACACATGAAAGGTACCCATACCAGGAGATTTCCATAATCATAGCTGCCAGTCTGGCAACCATGCAAATGTACAGTGAATTGCTATCATGTGAGTGCTGTTTGGAATACTTGTCAGCAGTAAGCTTGATATGCTCATGGATCCATTTTTCGAGAGGGAGGGACTTTATCAGACTACTTTAATCAGGTGGCAACGCATATTTCATGTGAACTGGCTTGCACAACAAGATATACTGGTCTTTGACTTTCCAGGTCACTTCAAACATATTCCTATTGAGAATATGTGAATATTTTCATATGGGAGATTATATTAGAATCTTTTATGCCAATCACTATTTCTATCATAAGGTTTTTAACTATGTTACACTTCCTTTGAAGCATTACTGATTGATAGCCTAAGGAACAACAAAGACAACATTCACTTACACCATTTATTTAGCATAGCAAAGCTGCTGTGTTCACTGTTATTAAAACCTCCACCTAAAAGCTGTTCTCCAAATCCCACCCTGAAATGAGGAATAATGCCTTTTGAGCAATGAATGTTTTCTGTCTCCGGTTTAGGCCTTGCACTGCATGGCAAAGGCCATACATGTGATTGCACAGGGACCACGAAGAAGAAAGGGCTGTTCACAAATATCTTTTCCTGAATGAAGATCTTTTGGATTGCTGCATCTATAGTGCCACAGTAGTTTATATTTATTTGATATTATTGTTCTTTCTGATGTGAATGCTATTTTTCTTGGCTTTTAATCAATTGTACTTTTATGGGCCAGTACCCAGTTCAACACTGCCACCAATGTAAATTATGTTATGCTAGCATAAGTGATCGCAACCACAACACCACAGCTTTTGCTGGCACAGCAGGTTTCCCTGTTGCTGGCGCAAAAGCACACTTACATCAGCACAATTTGATTTACATGAGTGCCTGTGCTGATCTTGACACTGCCTATTGTGTTAAAGATTTTAGCTCATACTGATTTTATATTGAGCCTTTATATGTAGAAAGTGCCTTGAGAAGATTTAACTAGACGTCAGCCTATAAATATGCTTAAATAATGTTGCACAGAAGTCAAATTAAAGAGCTGAAAAGTGAACGAAACAGCATAATCCATGTTTAAAAGCTCTAATGAGCCTCTGTCAAACTTAAGCAAGTCTAAGAAATCCTAATCCAATGAACCAAAAAAAAAAAAAAAAAAAAAAAGAGCAAAAATGCCAGATGTGCATTTTCTCTCTTGGAAAACCGTAAAGAGGGAAAGTTTCTGGGATTAATGATTTTTTTAGTGATTACCATTTGCTAAAACCATTCCCACTCTTTAAGGGAAACAAAAAAACTAAACAGTGATCAATTTGGAAGCAACAGAAATTAAAAGATGACTGTTTAAATAGATCAATAAATGACTGAAAAACTCTCAAATGTTCCAGTGGTGGGGTGTAAACATATTGGAGGGCAAGATTCTTCTTCTGTGGGCATAAGTACAAAAGATGGAAAGATCCAGGACCAGAAGGGCAAGGTGGTGGTATTACAGTATAGCATTGTTTTTGAACTGTTTTATGCAAAGCAAGAGAAAATAATTGCATAGTTAAACTAGTCTCATTTCTTCCACTTTTTAACCTCTTTGATAAAACCATTGGTAACTAAAAAATGTCCAGTCAGATAGTGCATTTTTATTAATTCAGGAAACACTGTAAGACTTTTCAGTAATTTCTTTCACTGTTGTCTTATTTCAGCAATAGTTCAATTGTCATTAACCAAAAATAATCCTTTTTTGTGTCTTTATATCCAAAAATATTTCACTTCCTCAAAAGACTGACTTCTCCCTTTTCTTCTCAATAATGTAAAACCGGGCAACCAACACTGTGTTGGGGGTCAGAGGAAAATACAACTATTTTAGAGGAACATAAGCACAATCTGGGAAGGCTTGAAGGATGCCCTTTTGACTTATCAATTTCAGTAAGCAAAATTTCAATCAAGCTAGATAAAATATACTAATCCTAAATAGACCAAGTTTGTCACCTACCACTTTCTATAAGCTGCTTACCATAGTGGGAGAAAAAATGCTAAATTAAATGCCAAACAGTAGCAGACAGCACTTGTTTGCCTGATTAACTTGTAGACAAGCATTACAAATAAATCTGAGCACGCTCTGCAGCAAATTAAATTCCAGTGCTTTAAAGAACAAAGAATTTGTTGGAAAAGAGGATTAGCAACTTTACACCCAGGAATGCGGTTTTAATTTAATTGTTCCACAATTGCAAGATTTAATATGCAAATATCATTTGGATATTTAATAGTGAAATTGACAAAGTAAGGAAACAATTTCAATCTATACGCAGATGGTCTTACTTCTAACTGTAATTATACACAGTGAAAAAAGCTGGCCAGGTCTCCCACTCATGCCTCACCCTCTTTCATTACTAGGATTCAATTCTATTAACATTAATCAGAACAAGATTAATTAAAGGTTAAAATCTTTAAATATATTTTAATTAAAACTCTAAATAGCTTCATGATTAGAGTAATGTAGTTATTGTCCCACCTCAATGATCTTCTTGGCTTCTTTGTATTTGCCAGTATTCAGGAAGGCAAAGAAGAGATAATAGAGCATCGTCATTTCACCTTTCTCTTGGCTCACAAAATCCATAGCTAGAGGAATTTAAAACATAAACTCATTAGGTTACCTGTTTAGAGTAGAAAAGAAAATGCACAAGGTGAATTCCCATGCCAGTGAACAGCCATGCAATACGGAAAAGTATGTGACCCTTTATTGCTAGCTGATGAAATTTCAGTTGCAGTTTCCTTTACAATCACCTGCAGTGCACTTTCTAGAAGAGTTCAGTGGTACCAAGATATTTAATACCTTGGCCATGAAGAAAATGAGATTGGTTTTTTATCTGCTCAAGGAACACAGCAGCAAATTCATAGACTAGACAGGACAAAACATGGCTAGAACGTAACAGTTTGGAGTAACTAATCACCAAATCTATTATACATAAAAAATTACATGACTTTTATAGTCTGTATTCCTCATCTTGCTTATGACTGGGATGATCCATGGGATACATCTCCATCCTTTGCTTCTCCAGAAGAGGTCCATGAGATCATGCTGGTATTCCAACAGCAAAAACCTGAATATTTTTAAAATGCCCATAACAATGATAGGACATCATTTGAATATGTGATGATAAACATTTCTAGTATAGTTCTCAATAACAAACTGCTAAACTTTGCAGATTAAAGGCTTCCATAAAGGGTACAAAGAGCAAAACAAGCAGACACCTAATCCAATTGATAATAGTAGCAACCAACCTTTGTGCAATAGTGTAGTGTTTCCCTTCTGTATTAACAAGCACAGGATATCATGAATTTTAGGAAGTCTGCCATACTTCTTATAGCAGTCAAAGGCAGCTAACATGGCTGCTTCTTCATCATTCCTTTAAAGAAAATCCATAACACTCTTTAAAAGTTTGACAATCAAAGCTACACACACAGACACACACCAGAAACAGCCATTGGAACATTAGGGTTCAGTTCAAAATGTATGTATTGGATGTCCACAATGTAAGTTCTTTTTCAATTATTTCCTTCAGCTTCTCAAAAAACACCCATTCTGAAGTTTTGACAACAGTAGAATTATTTAAATTCTAAAAGTCAACTTAAACAAATTCCACATAATCTTAATTCATTATATATAAATTCATTTTGAGCACTCAGTTTTGATGACCACATGTGAACTTGGTCTAAAATAAACAACATGGGGACTGCAGCATTTGGGTCTATTTTTCTGGTGAACAGTGAGTTCTTTTAACAAATGGTTGTGTCCCCAATAGAACAATCACTATTCTTAACTTTTACAGCTAAGTAAAGAAGGATGTTTCTAACCATTTTCATTGCATATTTGGTGAACAGAATTGGAGAGAGTTCTCTAACATTGTTAGAGAAAAAGCGAAACATCCTCAGAAAAAAAAGCTTGTAACTGCTGCATCAAATGACTTTGAATATTTTATATTTACAATCCATTTTAAATGTCATATGTTACCACAAAGAATGTTTTGTTATACCACCCCATAAACATTAAAATTTTAAAAACCAGCACATTATATTATAGAAATAAATTGCTATTTTGAAAAATTATGAAATTAAATACAAATACAGAAAATTATGAATTTGCTGCAATCCATTTAAAATTGTAAAAATAAGCCTAGCCTGATGGATCTCTATCTTACCCCCTTTACTGAGCCCTGTTTACAGTGCATCTTCTGGCACCCCACAGAGTCATTTGAATTATTGTCATTTGGGGTGAAGACTAAATTACAGGTTAATTTCAAAACTGCAAGTGGATGATGCAGGCTAGATTACTGTCATACTGAAGAAATAGTATGGTAGTTACCACAGATGGGTATAAAGCTTTATATAATCAGTGTTTTCTCCTACTCTGGATGCAAGTTCAGTTAACACCCATTGAAACAAACTTGCGAACAACTTCCAATAATTCCACCTAGGGTGCAATCAAATATATACATTCAAGGTCTCTCTGTTTATGTTCAGCTCTGTCAGTGACTCTGAAAAGAGCAACGGTGCTGTCTCAGCTGCATTCCCAAAGTACTAAATTGACTGTTTAGGTCAAAGCTATCAATAAGTGAATGAATAATTGGAATGCCAATCAAACAGACACATTAATAGTGTACAGGCTGCAAATATTACTGAAGATATTGTGAGTGTGTGGTACGCACGTGTGTGTAAAATAAGGAATCCATGAAAGGCAAATGGGTTAAAAATAACACAACTAGATGTGATTGAATGTCTAAGCATCTGTAAATGTTTCACCAGTCATAAATTCACCTCTTCACCTAGTGTTATGAGATCACTAGAAGCTACTATGGCTTTGGATGTTTCCTTTAGTTCTCTAACAAAACTACTGCACAGTCCATTTTTAAAAAGAAAAATCAGTATTTTACAAGTAGAAAAAATCAGGGTCTTGGATTCAAATTGTCATGCATGATCTCTGAGGCTTTCCCATGCATTCCCTTTGCATTAACCTCCCTGACTTCTCCCAAAGCTATTCTTGGTGAGGGACCCTCCAAAAGAACATGAGACAGCATGAAGGGGATTAGCAAAGGGTGTAGGGGAACTGCAGGAACTGACAACTACATGGGTGTGGCACTTTGGAGCAAAGCCAAAATATTCAGATACGTAATTTTAAAATCACTTTGGCCACCTAATTAGAAGGAAGGACTCACTGGAAAAGACCCTGATGCTGGGAATGATTGAAGGCAAAAGAAGAGGATGGCAGAGGATAAGGTGGCTGGATGGAGTCACTAGTGTGGTGGGCGTGGGTTGAGTGGACTCCAGGGAATGATGGTGGACAGGAGAGCCTGACATGCTGTGGTCCATGAAGTCATGGAGGGTTGGGCACAACTTTGTGACTAAACAACAAAAAGAACAACAATTTTAAAATCAGATATATAGTTTGTAATAATATGAAATCTGCCAGTGAGATACTTAATTGGAGCATACTGTGCACAGAGATGCACACACACGTTTAGAAGAACAACAAAAATCTTTTTAAAGAGTTTGGCACAGCCTTGCCAAATCAGTTTCTTATTCTACCTACCTTGCTTTACTACATGTAGCAGCTCCCTGTCCCCCTTCTTCCACAGGGGCAATATAAATATCCAAGAAGGGTTTCCTGATGCTAAGATTTTATGTCAAAGCAGAACCCCTTACAAGAGCACCATTTCTGAGCAAGTTCATCAAGATAAGTGACATTTGATTTACTAGAAGTCACACAAACTAGGACAAAGAAGAGCTCAGGCTGTGGTGAAAATAAATGACTGTATGAAGTGCTTTAGGCACAACTGAACACATGAGCTCAGCATGCAATATATACTACTTAAAAATATGAAACCACTAGTGGAAAGTTCCTGTGAATGCATCACCCATGGAGTTTTGTTTATAGTCTTGTTTTTGACTGCGTGGTGAAAAGAACTGGAACAACTGAATCTGATCATCATACTTTTTTTTTGAAAAATAAATTTAGGAATGCAATTATTATATACAAATTAGAACATGGGATCTTTACGTCTGTATCCAAGGGCAGTCACCAAATATGTGACCTCTTGTCAAAAGTTTATAGGAAACTTTTGACTGGATTTTGGGTTTACGCTAAACTTTGAAGCACAGATATATCTGATGTAAAACTTTTAATGTTCTCCTTGATGTGAAATGTTATCAGATTTATCATTTACCTGGAAGGACACAGATCTAGAATAAAGTGCTAATAAATTAAAAACTGAAGCAGACCAGTCCAGCACACAATTAATAAAGTTAACTACAAGCTACTTCAGTTATAGTAATCATGCTTTTCAAAATGCCCTATCAAAATATGTGCAAAACTCATATTCAATTGGAATAGTTCTATCCTATTACAGATCAACTTGCTTGCATTTTCTCTCACTCAGGGCACATATCTGCAACTGTTCTTAATATATAGCTTATGCACAGTGAGTGTAGAATGCTGTCCAGGGATATTAAAAGAGTTGTAGTCCATTATAACTTGATCAGATGAACCTTAGGCATGTGCATTAATCTCAATCTACATGTAATATCGCAGCACTCTTAAATCTCTTTAATTTGGATTTCTCTATTTGAGATGTGATCTAAGAGCCCTAATAATACTCAGAAAATAGTCCAACAGTGTTCTATGGGGCAACAGTAAGGTACTGCCTATCTTTTCAAATCTTGCAAGGAATTAATTGGATCACTCACAAAACCAATTGTGTTTTCAACTAAGAGCAGGAGTGAGAAATTTGTAGCTTCCTATCCTGAATTGTAACTGACTGTTTAATCTTTTCTTTTGTACGATCTTAAAATCTTAAATCTTTTTATTTTTAAATGGAAATAAATCCTTTTGCTTAAAGGGTACCACTCTCTCCACCTTACCCTTTTTACCTAATAAACAACTTTTTCAAACCAAAGTGCCTGGTACACTTGCTTGCATTTGCTCTTGTGCATGCTCACGCTTGCTCTCTCTCTCGCTCTCTCTCTCTCTATATATATATATATAAACTCTAAATATTGATTTTAATTGGAATGAAGTGCTTCCGTGTTCTGCATAAAGTGTTAGTGAAGTGGCAATTTACCTAAGGGGTTTACTGATTGAAAAGCTCTCAAACTTGAAATCACTAGAGAGGAAGGAATAATAAAAAAAAGTTTAAGAAAAAAAAGGACTGAGGGAAAAAAGAGAAGGCTTCGAAAACAAATCCCTCTCTAAATCTGAAGCAGATGTTAGTGTGGAGGGAAATCAATTCAGTAAGGTACAATCAGCTTTAAAAAAATTATTCTGTTAAGAGAACAGGGCTCTTGAAAGAGCTAAATGTTTTTTCTCCTCTGTTCATCAGCTATAACGAGGAATCTTCAAGGAGACTGGTGTTGCAATTACAACTAATCCTCCCCAAAAAATTAACTGTGTTGAAGGCTTTGTAATTTCCCTAGGTACAATTTAGCTGTCACTTACTTTAAAATTTACTCAAACATGCGTTCGGAACAGCACTAACTTCACATGTCAAGTGCTTTCCAGCCAATTGAGTCTAAACTGGAAGTCGGTGTTAAACAACTGAATGATTAGACAAGATAGCTCATTTCCTTGCTCTTTTGTTCAGAGTAAAATGCCACATTTACATTATCAGGCTCAACAGGATTTTCTGACAGAGGGAGAAAAAAACCCTAGTGAACACTGTCCGTACTAAACACATGAAGCCTGTCATTTACCAATCATCCTTCAAAAAGCAATAGCAATGAATGTAACTTAATTACGACCCAATGATCCTTGACGAAAAATCATCTTATCACTGTCCTGTTCCCGTAGGGCAAATGAACCACTTTTGTCCTTTGGCATTGATGATGCAAAATTCCTAATTGCAATAATGGAGTAAGAGAGACAAACCTTCCCTGTTTCACTTTTTTTGAGAGAGTTTCGGACAGGAGGAGCACAGTCCAGGAATGATGTGAATATTTGATGTAAAAATATAAATAGTTGGGTTTGTCTAGATTTCTGCGTACTATTACAAAGGCTGTAATGAAAAAGATGACTTGATAAACAAAAAAATTAATAAGTCAACGTGCTAGATTTTTGTGTACATCCATGATCAAAGATTTGACAACTCAACTTTTTAGCAATAACACAGAACTGTTTAGATAGGAAAGTTGTGATAAGGTACTGCAGCCAAAGTTACCCAAAAAGGTCTTTTCAACAATTTGACAGTCATCCTATGTAGAACTACATTTCATTTCTGTGTTGTTAAAGATCTTTCAAAACATTTTAACTATACATAAGTTTAACATTTTAAGAGAGGCACTTTTGTTTTCATCATTAACCATCACTGAGGAAAAAGTTTTGATGACTGAGCTGAAATGACTCATTATGTCTCAGAAA